CTGGAGAGGGTCTTGCAGGCCTTGCAGTGTGGTGGAGGTAGCTTCTCGCCGCAGCACGACACACTCGCACAAGTTTGTTCGCTAAATCGCATGCGCAGATTGTGAGAGACGGCGCACGAAAATTCTACAAGGAAAGTGTGTGCGACAAACTTGGCGCCGTCGCACAGTGGGCCAGAAAACCGGTGGAGGCAGCTAAAACTCTGGACGCGCGTTTTGAGCTCCAGAGTCGCTAAATGGGGCTCACCGAACGTGTGACCCCACCAATGGATTGCTCTCCGAACGAGGAGTCCATCGGTGGGGTCACACGTTCGGTCCGAGTCCCATTTAGCGACTCTGGAGCTCAAAACGCGTCCGCGGTTATGTCCGCCTCCACCGGTCTTCTGGCCCACTGTGCGCGACCTGTTCGCCGTGTTGGCCATCCTGCTGCTTTAGCAGTGTCGCCGCGTCGTCGCCGCGCTGGTCTGCGGCCAGCTTGGGGGCAGACGGGGGCACGCGGCTTTGGGGGGCAGGGGTTCCAGTGTAAGGTGCAGTGGCTGTTGTCAGGGGCGATGCTGTCCCAGGGGACGCCGCGGTGGGCCGAGCCCCCGACCCGCCTGCCTGGCAGCCCTCGCAGCACCACCACGCCGTCCTTGCCGTCCCGGGGAAGGGGGAGGGGGAGGGGAGGGGGCACGCGGAACACGACCGTGAGAGGCGTCCTGTGTAGACTCCCGGGGGAAAACTGTTCCTGGCCTACTCGGGGGGTGATTAACGCGCCGTACTCCCTTCACCATCACCACCACCATCAAGGCGAATTTCCAAAGCGCGCGCCGTGGTGGCGGCGGAGTGCGTCAGCGAGGATGGGGCGCCCCCCCCCCCCCCCCCCCCCACAGTGGGCAAGAAGAGCGGTGGAGGCGGCCAAAACTCTAGACGCGTTTTGAGCTCCAGAGTCGCTAATTGGGACTCGAACCGAACGTGTGACCTCACCAATGGATTGCTCTCCGAACGAGGAATCCATTGGTGGGGTCACACGTTCGGTTCGAGCCCCATTCAGCGACTCTGGAGCTCAAAACGCGTCTAGAGTTTTGGCCGCCGGCGCCGGTCTTCTGGCCCACTTTGGATGGGGTGGCCCACTTGTTACGTGATTCCCAAAGCTGACCTAACGTAAGGCGGGCGTAAGGGCTATACCAACGCGTCCGATTCTGAACACGTCCGGGCGCAGAGCGGCGGCCTGCGGTCCAAGGCCAACACCGACCGAATTCCGGAGCTACCCGGAACTCGGAACCGGCGACCCGGCGGCCTGGATTTGCACCACTTCCGGCCTGGGCATCCTGGGCGCGGCACGGCCCCATCAAACTTGGTAACGCAAAGGGTCGGTACGCCACTCCGGGGAGCATCACAATATTCATGGCGGGGCCGGCGAGGTCCACGACGTTCAGCACGCCCTCGTGCAGGCCGTGCAGGCCGGCAAGACTGACTCTCAGTCGACGCCCGCCCAGAAGCCTGAAGCTGCTCCTGCCAGCTGGTCCTGCAGCCTGCAGGACGCGTTTGGAGCTCCAGAGTCGCTAAATGGGACTCGAACCGAGCGTGTGACCCCACCAATGGATTGCTCTCCGAACGAGGAATCCATTGGTGGGGTCACACGTTGGGTTCGAGTCCCGTTTGGCGACTCTGGAGCTCAAAACGCGTCTGAATTTTTGGCCGCCTCCGCCGGTCTCCTGGCGGAGACCCACTGTGTATCGGGAAGTTGCCGCGGAGGTTGGCAACCCTTTCGACGCTTAGCCACACGATGCCGCAGGTAGCCTGTGTCTCTGTGCCTGTCGCTGTGTCTCTCTCGCACTCGTGGGTCACCCCGTGAAGGTGCGAGAGAGACAGAGTGACGACTCGGCAGATTGACGGCGTCATGGGCTGGCGTCTGACGGATGCGGGGCGGCGGGGCGGCGGGGGCGGCGGAGCGCGCGGCCGGGGTGACGGCCTGCTCGGCCTGCTTGGCCTCCTCGGCCCGCCGCCCCGCGGCCCCAAGATAAGGGATGGCCCCATCAATTCCACGCGCAGCCTCGGGGGCGGCCCGGGGGCGACCCGGGGGCGGCCGGGGGCGGGCCGATGTGCCGACGGTCCGGAGAGTGAAAGAACTCACCTCCCTGGACGGCTTCCAATATTCAGGGGACGCCTTCCTTTGTGCGCCGCCCCCTTGCGCGGCGGGTTGCCTACCGGACACGTACTCACACACACTCCACAGCGGGCCAGAAGACCGGCGGAGGCGGTCCAAATCCCGGATGCGTTTTGAGCGCCAGAGTCGCTAAATGGGACTCGAACCGAACGTGTGACCCCACCAATGGATTGCTCTCCGGACGAGAAATCCATTGGTTGGGTCACACGCTCGGTTCGAGTCCTGTTTAGCGACTCTGGCGCTCAAAACGCGTCCGGACAGGCCCAAGAGGGGTGGAACGGAGCACTACGCTTGAAGAAAGGCGTAAAAGTGCGCTCCAGTTTACCAGTGAAGCCTTCCGTCGGAGGCACTTTGTCCTCGCGGTGACGCGGAGGGTAAATAATTAAACCTAATCTGCGCTGGTCTTTGTGACCCCGTTGCAGCCCCGCCCCGGCCCACCCCACCCCGCCCCGTTTCTTCCAGCTGCAGGCTTCCCAGCCGTTATTCTTTCGGCCCTGACTGACTGTCGGTGACTGTCACACAGTGGGCCGGAAGACCGGTGGAGGCGGACAAAATTCTAGACGCGTTTTGAGATCCAGAGTCTCTAAATAGGGCTCGAACCCAACGTGTGACCCCACCAATGGATTGCTCTCCGAACTAGGAATCCATTGGTGGGGTCACACGTTCGGTTCGAGTCCCATTTAGCGACTCTGGAGCTCAAAACGGGTCTAGAGTTTTGTCCGCATCCACCGGTCTTCTGGCCCACTGTGTTTCGGTGACTGTCGGCGACTGGGGGGACCGTCTGCGCACTACACTGTGGCGAGGGGGGCCGCCCCCGCCGCCTCGTCACCACGGCATTCTGCGGCATTCTGCGTGCGCCTTTGGCAGCCTTCGGAAGGCAGGGGTGCCAACGTCGTTAAGATTACGCCGAGGAAACGTATTTTTGTTTTTATTTGTTTGTTTTGCTGCGTTGGCACCTCTGGCACGCGCAAGCTTGTTTTTTTTTTTTTTTTTTGCAGGCAGTTTTACGGCCGCCTCGAGCTCATGAAAAAGTGCCCGTTTGCCCACCCCAGCGTTCAGACACGCATGTCCTATTTTTGTTGCATTTCGAGAAATTTGTGCGAGGTGGATCAGTTTATGTTTCAAATTCATGGACGTTGAAAGTCGAGTAGAAATATGCGTGGGCCTTCTGAGAGGCAGGCCGACTGATAGACACCCCGTTTGTGTCGAGTCAGGTTTGGGCATCCGCACCAATAATCGCTGGGCCGACCGGCTGGCCGACACGCGACGCTGACTCAACGGAACGTCGGGGCAAATTGTGCAAAGCGTCCCGTGCTCTCTGCTCTTCGAGATATTGCGATGTTGTGATTTAATCGCTACTCGTTCATCAAGCGCCCGGGGCCGAAGGGAGGGGGGGGGAGGGCCTGGCGTTCCCGTCGACCAGTGTACCTCCACGCTGAGGACGCGAGGGGGGTGGGGCGGGGCGGGGCGGGGCGGGGCGGGGCGGGGCGGGGCGGGGCGGGGCGGGGCGGGGCGGGGCGGGCGGGGCGGGGCGGGGCGCCCCCGCACGCCTTTTTTGCTGCCTCCAAATGAATACGACCAGGCCGAGTTAAGTAGATCATATTTCAAGGGAAGGTGCGGCGCGCTGCGCGGCAGCTGTTAGCAGGAGGGTGGCTCTGTAATCGCCCGCTTCATTAGCCGCTCCGTCTCTCTCGCACGCGCTGCGCCCCGCGCGACGCGCCGTGGGTGCGAGAGAGACGGACGGAGGCATGTCCCGCCGACAGCGACCCCGGCCTCGCCCCGGTGTTCGTCTTGGCACCGATGCGCCTAACAGCTTCGCCTTTCTTCCTCACCTGCAGAGATAGAGAGAGAGAGAGAGAGAGAGTGAGAGAGAGAGAGAGAGAGAGAGAGAGAGAGAGAGAGAGAGAGAGAGAGAGAGTGAGAGAGTGAGAGAGAGAGAGAGAGAGAGAGAGAGAGAGAGAGAGAGATGGAGGGGGAAGAGAGGGGTGAGTAGACAGAGTCGGAGAGACAGAGTGTACCCTTGGCTCCAGCCAGGTCTAGACTCGTGAAAATGGTGTTGTTGTTGTTGTTGTTGTTGTTCCACTTTCTTGCAAAGGAAGAAGGAAGTAATGAGGAGTGTAGGAGAAAGCAATCGCCTCTGGAAGCGCAATGGTCGGGTTTAATTGGCCGCGTACTCGTTCCAACTCGGCGACAAGCCGAGAGAGTGCGAAAGCGATGTCGTCTCTTTCCGGCCGGCCAAACTGTTGTCGGGGTCCGCGCGACACGGCCGCGCCGCGCCGCGCACAGTGGGCAGTGGGCCAGAAGACCGGTGGGGGCGGACAAAATCCCGGACGCGTTTTGAGCTCCAGAGTCGCTAAATGGGACTCGAACCGAACGTGTGACCCCACCAATGGATTCCTCGTTCGGAGAGCAATCCATTGGTGGGGTCACACGTTCGGTTCGAGGCCCATTCAGCGACTCTGGAGCTCAAAACGCGTCTGGAGTTTTGGCCGCCTCCACCGGTCTTCTGGCCCACTGTGCGCGGCGCAGCGCTGCGCCGCGCCACGGACAAGTTTGGTCAACTCGAACCGTTTGGGGGCGGCAGGGCGGCGCGGCACTCGGCCTGGCCACTGCCGGACTTCCCGTGGGGCATTGAAATAAAACGGCAACGGGCGCCAGGCCGCGCCGCCGCGCCGCTGCGCCGCGCCTGCTGGAGTGGCTTTCAGGCAATTTCAGTAATTGTCTCGTAGTGTCGCGGCGTGGCTGCGGCGCGTGCGGTGTAATGCCCGCATTCGCGGCAGTGTTGCCACACGAGCAGGCGAAAATTCCCGCGACGCACCGAAGGGGTTGCCAACCTCAGCCTATCGCGGCGAGGCTACTCCCGGGGCTCCCGGTAGTCCACCGCGCCGACGGCGGGGCGCCCAGAGGACGCGTCCTTGACGGTGGTGTTGTTGGGGCTGCTGGTGGACCCTCCAGGACGTCCCTGCTGGCCGCGCGGCGCCGAGGGTGTTTGAACAGGCGCCACGGGTACCGAGGATGAAGTCGTGCTGGGGGCGGGGGCGGGGGTGGTGCCGAGGAAGGGGTCGGGGGCGGGCGGCGGCGGGAAGCCCGGGGGCGGCGGCGTGCGGTACGCCCCCCAGTCCTGCTTGATGAGGTCCGCCGCCATCTCGGCCACCATGGTGACGACGGCCTCGAGCAGGGAGGCGGGCGCGGCGGGCACGACGGACGCGTCGGCGACCCTCAGCCCGGACGTGCCGCGCACCCGCAAGCGGGCGTCCACCACACTGTCCGCGTCCACGCCCATCTTGCACGTGCCGACCTGCAACAGGGGGCAGTCCGGGCCAGTCACCACCCAGCGCACACAAAGGACTGGGTCCGGATTCGGGGCAGGCGCGGTCCAAGGGTACCGCACAGTGGCCCAGAAGACCGGTGGAGGCGGCCAAAACCCCGGACGCGTTTTGAGCTGCAGAGTCGCTGAATGGGACTCGAACCGAACGTGTGACCCCACGTCCGGTTCGAGCCCTGTTTAGCGACTTTGGAGCTCAAAACGCGTTGAGAGTTTTGCCCGCTGCGGACTCACCATGTTGTGGCCCAGCACGGTGTACGTCTTGAGCTGGCACTCCCAGTAGGCCGTGGTGGCGAAGGCGTGCTCCTCGCAGCCCGGCGTGGGTGTGCTCACGAGGCGCGCGCCGTGCCGCCGCAGCGGCGGGCTGTCGCCGAGGTGCAGCGCCACGCGCACGCCCTCCAGCGCCACGGCCACGTCGCGCGCGTGCGTCAGGAAGCCGGGCTGCAGCAGGGGCGCGGCCATGGGGTCCTTGGAGCGGAGCAGCACTCTGCCGCGCGACGCGGGCCGCAGCACTGCAAGTCGAAAAACACATCAAACACGTACCAGCAGGCGTGGAGAAATTTGTTGACTTCAGCGTCCAGCAGTGTCAACCCATCACTGTAAGTCCAGGTAAGTAGTCATTGGTTCGGACATTTTTCATGCCCTACCTAATGTGCCGCGTCTGGAAAAAAAATATCTAGGAAGATAGCCAGCCAGGATTTGAACCCAGGCCTGGGCGAAGGATCCGGCCCCGGCTCACCTGGCTGATGACGGCAGATTTCCCCCAGCTCGGGGCTCCGGATTGACTTGGCCTCTCCCTCCCAGTGGACCGGCCTGGACCGGCCCGACGACCCCATAATGGAGCCATGCGCTTAGCGCCCTGTTCCGCCCAGCATCGCCCTGGAGGCTGGAGCAGGCTGGAGCCGCCTGGCCGCCAGTACACTGCAGTGCTGCCACGCCACTGGGCGAAAATTCCCACGGTGCATCGCCAGGGTTGCCAACCTCAGCCTGCCTCTCCGGCAAAGTACACGCGAGACGCTGCCAGGCAGGCTGAGGTTGGCAACGACACTTGTGAGATTTTGTGTATACGTGTGTGGCAACACTGCCGCAGTGTACTGGTGAGGTCTCCACTTCCGGTGTGTTCCTTCCCGACGAGAACTCATTCCGAGCTTCGGCCGTTTCACGCCCCACTTCCGGGGAGGCAATAGGGCGATGACGATCGCTCGGCCTGCTCGTCGTCTAGACCGTGTCCGGAACCGTGGAACTACCTGGAACTACCTGGCGGGGCGGCAGCCAGCCAAGGGGTGTACCTGCCCGCCTGCCGGCCTGCCTGCCCGCCTGCATCCCGAATGGTGTCGTTGAGCGGAATGTTCGCCGAACGTCCATAAATTTGGGGAGATTGCCTCGGTAATGGGGCCGGCTCGAGTGAGCCGTCACCATGCGGAGGCATCGGCGGGAAACGCGGGAAAAACAAAGAAAGAGTGGCAGCCCAACCTGATTTGATTAACCTGGTCAAAGCGCCCGACATCATTTTTCGGCCAGTTTCTCTGCGGCAGCCCAAGCTCTAATCAAGAGCAATTTTTCAAGAAGTCGCAACGTAACCTAGCCTTAACTCTGCTTTTTGCCCAACTTAGACAAACCGAGATACCGACTTCGCGACCAATTTAGCGACTCTGGAGCTCAAAACGCGTCCAGAGTTTCGGCCGCCCCCACCGGTCTTCTGGCCCACCGTGAATCGCGTTGTAACGTTGGCAGCACGGGCGCCTTTTATTGCGCCTTGCTACATCTCCAAAACACACGGCGCGACGCGCGGCGCGGCTCGACACGGCCCGGCCAGGCAGTGGCGCAGGAAACTTTGAGGGCTCTTAATGGTTTACGACAGAATGCGGGGGCGGCGAATGGCGGCGTGCGGAGGAAAGGGGGAGGGGGGGGGGCTCTAGTTACAAGTCTACTAAAGCGTGACGGGCATACATTGGCGCGAGAGCGAGTGAGACACACCGCCACACAACGCGGCGTCACAATAGGGTACTTTCGTAGAATCCTGAACCGGAAGCAAGCAGACCAGCAGACGCCGAATTGGCCGGAAACTAACCTCTCTTCGGATCCAAAACTATAGCCGAGCTGTACAAATATTGCTCGCGAAACACATATGCACTGCAAACAAGTATCAAACGACTGTTTATGTTCAAGTGTGGCCGATACCTTTGACGAACGTCTCTTTCCCATGTCAAGTTTGGATCTACTTCCGCCAAGATGGCGTCTGTGTGCTTCCGGTTCAGGGATCTACGAAAGTACCCTATGGGAACGGTTCGCGCCGAATTTAAACTTTGCCAGATTGATTGGATTTGGCGCGAAATTGGGCGGATTTACACCGAGTTGTGGAGCAGGCGTCTTGCAATGTTACTTGGTGTGTTTCCAAGAGCAGTATTTTTAGTTGCAACCGCGGTAAGTCGCAATCTTTTTTGAAGAAAAAATGACAAGTTGCCTGCTGCGTCCTTCCCAGCGGCGCTGCACTGTGGGTGGTCCATTCTGCGTCCTCCCGGCGCACAGTGGGCCAGAAGACCGGTGGGGGCGGCCAAAACCCTAGACGCGTTTTGAGCTCCAGAGTCCCTAAATGGGCCTAGAACCGAACGTGTGACCCCACCAATGGATTGCTCTCCGAACGAGGAATCCATTGGTGGGGTCACACGTTCGGTTCGAGTCCCATTCAGCGACTCTGGAGCTCAAAACGCGTCTAGAGTTTTGGCCGCCTCCGCCGGCCTTCTGGCCCACTGTGCGGCGGCGGAAGTCGCGTCCACGGTTCAAACCAAACAAGTTGCAAACAAGTTAAACCGCGGACGGACGCGATGAATTCCGGCCAGTGTTTCCGACTAACTCGATTTGAATGCCGGGGGCTCCGCGGAGATGTCCAGTGTAGCGGGCGTAGCGGGGTGGGGGCAGAAGTCCGGACAGGGTTGCGGAGAAACATGACAAGCTGGCGTTTCAGCGCGCAGCGGTCTGGCCTTCTTCCAGGCATCAGCAAAGCCACGGGATTACGGTATCAGGAGCCTTCCCCCTCCCCTTCCCCCTCCCCGCCCCCTGGAAAGACCAACCGCCAACGCAGAGTTAATTTGTCCATTTACTGGCGGTAAGTAACTCCACAGGTAACGCCTGGCTTCACTCCGCAAGGGAAGCGCGCCGAGCCGAGCCGAGCCCAGTGGAGCCGAAGCTAACTCACGCTCCTACGCACTCGGACGTAAATTCGAGGCCTCCGCTCTGAGGACTGACCTTCGCCGTCGGCAAGCCCGCGGCAGGCAAGTTGGAACGGAACTCACGCCGACAAATTTCAAAACAGGGAACTAGGACGCAAATCCCGCAGCTTTGTCGTGCGAGAGAGAGAGGAATAATATGACGACGGGTAAAAGCGGAGCGAGAGAAGCCGTCTCAGGGTTACGCAGGCGGGGGGGGGGGGGGGGGGGGCAGGTGGGAGGGGAGGGCCTTGACCGCGGCGGCGGGGAGATCAGCCCCAAAGCCACGGCCCGTCAGCGGGAACGCAAATTATTTCCAGACGCTCGTCTCGGGGAATTTCAGCAACCTTGCCCTTTTTGCGCTGCCGCGCTGCCCTCGCCTCGCGCCAGTCGCGCCTCGCGTTGCCAAGGCGACGGTCTGCATCGACGGACGCCTTGACACCCTTTCCGCCGCCAGCCCCGCCCCCGAGACCCCCGCCCCCGAGACCCCCGCCTCCGAGACCCCGCCCCCGAGACCCCCGCCTCCGAGGCCCCCGCCCCCGAGACCCCCCGCCTCCGAGACCCCCGCCCCCGAGACCCCCGCCTCCGAGACCCCCGCCTCCGAGACCCCCGCCCCCGAGACCCCCGCCTCCGAGACCCCCGCCTCCGAGACCCCCGCCCCCGAGACCCCCGCCCCCGAGACCCCCGCCTCCGAGGCCCAGTCTCGGCGCCCGCCTGCCATGCGGCGCGTAGGCAACCCGCTCGCCGGCGCGGCCTGCGCGTCGCCTACCCCAGGGGGGCTCCGTCCGCGCCCCCGCTCTGCGTCGGCGTCCCGGGGACCGTCATCCACGACGATGGCTGACGCAAGCACTCTCGGCGACACAGCCGGCCGGAAGGTCGGAACCGCCGGGACTCGGTTCTGCTCTGCACGGCGCCCAGTGGGCCAGAAGACTGGTGGAGGCGGCCGTAACTCTAGACGCGTTTTGAGCTTCAGAGTCGCTGAACAGGATCTAAACACCCGCGGCTGACTCTCTATGTCAATCAAGACTGGATGCAGGACAATCCAAAGACATTTTAACACAAAATGAATTCAGAGTAACAGAAGTAAAATCAACTCTATAAAGAAAATTTCAGCGAAAGAGGGCACCCCGGCGAACCGGCCCTCTTCCCCGCTGGCTTGGTGAGCCAGTGGTTCCCCCATCTCATCACAGGAGCAACCTCAGAGTTAAACCGCAGTGGCCCCGTCATTGGTCACGTCATCTGTGATGTGGAGGAGTCCTCTCATAGTAGGCCAGGCTGCCACCTTTCCCAGTAGTCGGGTTTCGTTCCCGGCCCCCTTCCCACTCAGGGGCCATGCTACTGGTACTCAGGAGTCTGCGTCACCCTGCCCAGCAGCGGAACCACTGGGCTATGAGAGGCACACTGCACGCCGCCCGATTTTGTATACTTGAACCGCCTTCTTGCGATGCAAGCTTGGTCAAAATATTCTTTGAGGTGCTGGGTATCGAACCCCGGACCCCACAGTCGGGACCTGACGCCTCTGCGCTCTCGGCCACCACGGCCCATGGGTGACGATGTGCGAAGGGGAGGATTTGAAGCCGCTGGTCCGAACCGTGTAGTCAGACAAAAAGAGCGGCAAGCTAGTATTCGATCGCTCGATCCGAGTATAGGATTCAGGGATCTCAACACCTTCGGCCACCGTGGCTCGCCGGGTAAGCCGAGTGGCGCAGCGGGCCCAAACCGCACCGGGAAAGCCACTCCTAAAATGTAAAGAATTGTTGGGAGTCGAACCCTAGCCCTTGAGAATGCGGGTCAACGCATCTGCGCGCTCTGCCGCCGCTGTTTCTATCCAGTATGTCGTAAGTCCCACTACTGGATTCACACTGTGGCATCCCGAGGAAATCATGATCACGCGCAGGGGCTAGGGTTCGACTCCCAACAATTCTTTACATTTTGGGAGTGGCTTTCCCGGTGCGGTTTGGACCCGTTGCGCCACTCGGCTCACCCGGCGAGCCACGGTGGCCGAAGGTGTTGAGATCTCTGAATCCCATACTCGGATCGAGCGATCGAATACTAGCTTGCCGCTCTTTTTGTCTGACTACACGGTTCGGACCAGCGGCTTCAAATCCTCCCCTTCGCACATTGTCACCCATGGGCCGTGGTGGCCGAGAGCGCAGAGGCGTCAGGTCCCGACTGTGGGGTCCGGGGTTCGATACCCAGCACCTCAAAGAATATTTTGACCAAGCTTGCATCGCAAGAAGGCGGTTCAAGTATACAAAATCGGGCGGCGTGCAGTGTGCCTCTCATAGCCCAGTGGTTCCGCTGCTGGGCAGGGTGACGCAGACTCCTGAGTACCAGTAGCATGGCCCCTGAGTGGGAAGGGGGCCGGGAACGAAACCCGACTACTGGGAAAGGTGGCAGCCTGGCCTACTATGAGAGGACTCCTCCACATCACAGATGACGTGACCAATGACGGGGCCACTGCGGTTTAACTCTGAGGTTGCTCCTGTGATGAGATGGGGGAACCACTGGCTCACCAAGCCAGCGGGGAAGAGGGCCGGTTCGCCGGGGTGCCCTCTTTCGCTGAAATTTCCTTTATAGTGTTCATTTTACTTCTGTTACTCTGAATACATTTTGTGTTAAAATGTCTTTGGATTGTCCTGCATCCAGTCTTGATTGACATAGAGAGTGAGCCGCGGGTGTTTAGATCAATTGAGCGCCGCCGAGTTGCTCTCTAGCTGCAGCCTGACCGCGTGGCGGTGTAAGTGGGTCGGACAAAACGGAGGTCGGACAAAGTTTTCAGCCGATTCACGGGCAAGTGAAATTTGGACAGGTCGGACACCCGAACACGTTCGGTTCTAGTCCCATTGAGCGACTCTGGAGCTCAAAACGCGTCTAGAGTTTTGGCCGCCTGCGCCGTCTTCTGGCCCACTGAGGCGGTACTCACCCATGGGCGTGATGGTGAAGGTCTGGTTGCCCTCCAGCGGCGCGAACACGGTGTCGTAGAGCACGGCGCCGAGGCCGTGCACCGCGGCGAGGCCGGGCACCGAGGCCGGCGACGTGGGCGTGAACAGCAGGGCGACGTCGGGGCCGTCCTCGGCGTCACCCTCGGGGTTGTGCCCCGAGCTGAAGAAGCCCGCCGCCTCGCCGCCCAGCAGTGCCGTGAGCGGGCCGGCGCCGTGCCGCAGCCACCGCCACGTGTTGGCCGCCGTGCGCACCTTGGCGTCCACCAGGGACAGCGTCTCGTCCGCGTCCTCCAGCGTCCACACCAGCCCGCCGACGCCCACGTGGTCCTGCAGGTTCAGCCCCACGGACAGGTTCCTCAGCACGGGGATGCCCAGGCTCTGCGTCGAACCAAATACATCTTATAAACAGCAGCAACAACAAAGCACTTGCCTCCCTGTTGGGAACTCGGCAGAGCAGACTGCCCCCTGCAGAGCCCTCCACTTCTCCCGCACAGTGGGCCAGAAGACTCGAGGAGGCGGACAAAACTCCAGACGCGTTTTGAGCTCCAGAGTCGCTAAGCAGGATTCAAACCGAACGTGTGACCCCACCAATGGACTCCTCGTTCGGAGAGCAATCCATTGGTGGGGTCACCCGTTCGGTTCGAGTCCCATTGAGCGACTCTGGAGCTCAAAACGCGTCCGGGGTTTTGGCCGCCCCCACCGGTCTTCTGGCCCACTGTGCAGCGCCCTGCACTCCTCCCCTTGGCCCCTCGCACGGCAGGACTGCTTCTTCAAATCAATCCTCACTGCAGCAACTGCAGGCGACTTGTCTGCGCCGTGCTCGCTCCGCAGCAGTGGCGGTCCGAAGTTTGAGCCTCGGAACTTTGTTCTGGCTGCCGAGGCGTCTGCGCCTTGGTCTGCGCCTTGGGCTGCGCCTGCCTCTGCCTCGTTAAGGAGCGGAACCTTGAGGAGAGGCGTGCAGCTCCGCCGCGCGCCATCGGCAAAAACAGCGGACGCAAGTTTTGATAAAAGTTCTTTTTCACGAGTTTTAAAATTCGCAAAGTGTCGACGGCGTGATTTGCCGACACTAGCGTCGAAAAACAAAACTCGCTCGGATTCCACCGCCACCGCCACCTTTCATCTCGCAAATCAATTTTGCGTCGGATGCCCTGGAGAAAACTTGGGCGGGTAGGGCTGTGCGATACCTCGATATATCGAGGTCGATACGATATCATCCTGATATCGAGGGGTCCGATATTTGTTTTTGAAGCACATCGATATATCGAGGGCTCGATATATCGCGATATCACGATATCACTCGCCTCACGATATGCGTTATCGACTCGATATCTTGCGATATTTCGCTCGATATGCCTAGATATCGCGATATTTATCGATCTCGATTCCCTCGATATCACTATATTCTTCGATATTACTCGATATGTGTCGTGGTGCGACATATCGACCCTTAGTTCGATATAAGGTCAATATCGTATCGCGATACCGAGAAGTGGATATCGCACAGCCCTATGGGCGGGGAGAAAAAAAAGAGTGGTGTGCATGTTATCCCGGCTGGCCGCGGCAGGCGCGAGAAAGGAAAGTTTTCTTGAAAGCCCTCTATCCGCGCGCAGTCTATCCGCGCCTCTATCGCGATCAATACCCAATTACGCGCGATAGAATGGGCCGCGCTCCTTGCGGCGCGGAAAATTGGGAAAATAATAATACTAATGAAAATCTTTCAACACAAGGGGCCGGGCCGCATTGTGCCGCGGGGCTGCGAGGGGCTGCATAGTGGGCCAGAAGACCGGTGGAGGCGGACAAAACTACAGACGCGTTTTGAGCTCCAGAGTCGCTAAATGGGACTCGAACCGAGCGTGTGACCCCACAAATGGATTCCTCGTTCGGAGAGCAACCCATTGGTGGGGTCACACGTTCGGTTCGAGTCCCATTTAGCGACTCGAGCTCAAAACGCGTCCGGGGTTTTGGCCGCCTCCGCAGGTCTTCTGGCCCACCGTGGGCTGGCGTGCAAGCAAACGGCGCCCATTGTTCGCCCGGCCGAGATGAGAGGACGGCACGGCGGGGCGGCCGACCAGGCGAAGGAGAGGAACAGGAACAAGCATACCTGCAGGTGCTGCTCGGGGCCGATGCCGGACAGCATCAGGATCTGGGGGGAGTTGACGGCGCCAGCGGCCAGGATCACCTCCTTGCGCACGCGGTACTGCAGAAGGGCCTGCCGACAACGCTGTGAGTCAGTTTGGGGGAGGGCCGAGGGATAGAAGGAGAGAGAGAGCTCACCTTGTCCGCGGTTCGAACCTCCACGCCGGCGGCGCGCGCGTTGCCCCGCCACAAGACCCTCGTCACAACGCTCCCCGTCTCGACGCGCAGGTTGGGGCGGCCGCGGACCGCCTCGGGCAGGTAGGCCTCGGCCGCGCTGAAGCGGCTGCCGTCGCGCATTGTGGTCTGCAGGACGACAAGAGCGTCGTGAGGCTGCCTCTAGACGCGCTTTGAGCTCCAGAGTCGCTTAACAGGACTCGAACCGAACGTGTGACCCCACCACTGGATTGCTCTCCGAACGAGGAATCCATTAGTGGGGTCACACGTTCGGTTCGTCGAGCCCCATTTAGCGACTCTGGAGCTCAAAACGCGTCTGGAGTTTTGGCCGCCTCCACCGGTCTTCTGGCCCACTGGCGACAGAGCCACCCACCTGCAGCCTGGAGAAGCCGCTGACGGTGCCGTTCTCGCCGTGGTGCACGCGGTAGCCCAGCCAGGCGGCGGCCTCCAGGAAGGCCCTGGACAGCCCGCTGGAGTACGGCGGGTCCGAGACGGGCACCGGGCCGCCCGTGGCTTGCGTGAAGCCCGGCCAGCGGTCGGCGGAGAGCTGGTCCTCGGCCTGGGAACGGTCAGGGTGACGCACAGTGGGCCAGAAGACCGGTGGAGGCGGCCAAAACTCTAGACGCGTTTTGAGCTCCAGAGTCGCTAAATGGGACTTGAACCGAACGTGTGACCCCACCAGTGGATTGCTCTCCGAACAGGGAGGTCACACGTTCGGTTCAAGTCCCATTTAGCGACTCGGGAGCTCAACGCGCGTCTAGAGTTTTGGCCGCCTCGAGCGGCCTTCTGGCCCACCTTCTTGAAGTAGCGCAGCGTCTGGCCCCAGCCCTCGTTCCCGGCGGCGACCCACCGCCGGAAGTCGGCGAACGGCGGCCTGGTGCGCAGCATGTACCCCACGCCGGTGGAGCCGCCCAGCACCCGGCCGCGGGGCGCGGGGCAGCGCCCGCGGCGCAGCCCGCGACAAGAGCCCCTGCGAGCAGGACAAGGGCAAGGGCATGTCGGGGAGACCTGGCCTAATAGACGAGCTAGGCAGGCTGTAGTGTCAGCCCATGGCCCAGAGGCACACATTTTTCTCTCCCGCTGCCGAAGGAGCCTTGCTGATTCCAACTAGTCAGTCTCAGTCTGTCTCTGTCGCACCCACAGGGCGTCCGACGCGGGTGCGACAGAGACAGAGCGACGGAGCGACTCCAGGCGCGGCAGTAAATAACGCGGCCGTCTGTTACACTGTGAATAATGGAGGACGCACTTGTGGGGCTCGCTGGAGTAGGCCCACACCTGGCCGCGCCGCTGCGTCAGCACGTCGGCCACGTGGAAAGGCACCTGCAAAAAACAACAAAAACAATTACAAACTAATTTCCCGTCGTGTTCTCTCTCGGCTCGGCATGCAAGTTTGCGCGCGGCAACGCCTCGGCCACGCCGCTGGAGGTCCAGGGGTCCAAGGACGCCGCGAATTAAAAGTTGGCCGTTTTGTTTGTAACGGTGTGGCGGCGCCCTTGACCGCGTGGCCTCGGCGTGGCCTGGCCGCGTACCTTGCTGCTGCGCTCCTCCTCCCCGCCAGCCTCCACCAGCAACACGGTCCAGGAGGGCTCCTCGGAGAGGCGGCTCGCCAAGGCCGCCCCTGCCGCGCCGCCACCCACCACCACGAAGTCCCACGCCCTGGGCCTGCGCCGCGCCCAGTCCAGCAGCCCGCGCCCCGTCCCCGCCGAGGCCCCCGCCGAGGCCCCCGCCGAGGCCCCCGCCAACTTCGGCGACGTGGCGGGCCCAACACCTGCCTCAACTGTCCGCCCATTGGCTTCTACAACGCCCCCGTCGTTGTCTTGGCGCTCCCCGTCGCTGACGTCATCCTCGTAGCGCGGCGTCGCCTCGTCTTCCTGGTCGTCGCCATCAACTACGGCCTCGAGGTCTTCCTCCTCGTCAACATCCTCTGCTTTTTGGCTCGGCGTCTCCGCCGCCAACCCCTTCACGACGGCGTCCTGGCCATCGTCGAGGCCGTCGTCGTCCTCGTCGACGTCGTGGTCGGCGTGGTGCACTTGCATGGCCGCCGCGACCCCGGCGCCACCGCTATCCTCGTGGTCCAGGCAGTCCTCGCAGTCACCCTCGTCGACGTCGTGGTCGGCGTGGGGCACTTGCGTGGCCGCCGCCAAGCCGCCGCCACTGCCGCCCTCGTCGTCGAGGCCCTCGTCGTCGTCTTCCTCGTCTTCTGCCTCCTCGCCGTCCTCGTCGGACACGGTGGTGTACTCCGTGACCTCCCCCAACGCCCGCTGCCGTCCCTCCCTCCGGGACTGTGTCCGGGAGGTCACGTCGACGGCCTCCCACGCCGCCGGTGGTTCAAACGGCTGCCTCTCTCGGCGCTGCGCGGTCGGGGCACTCAAGGCCGTCGTCGTCGGCGAGGTCGTCGTCTGGTGTTCGTCCCCCGGGCGCGGGGCTTGGCGCGGGGCGGCCGGGTCGCCGGGTACCACATACCGGCCCCGGGGGCCCCGGGGGCCCTGGGGCGAGTGGCGGGCTCGCTGCAGACTCTCCAGATAGCTTTTAAAACTGAGATAGGACAGGCCGTCGGCCGGCGCGGGCGTAGCGGCCCCGGCCCCGGCCGCCCTGGCGCCGACCAGAGGGCCGTATGAAAAATTGAGCACGGCGCCGCACTGCAGGGCGAGCAGGGCGAGCAGGCGAAGCAGACGCCCCCTCATGGTGCACACGCACAGTCACGCACACAGGGGCACCATTCACGCACACAGACACACACACGCGGCGGCACAGTTTGTCACACTTAACCGGCTCACGGACACTTTAACCGCTTGCCCCGTGCGGTCCGCGCGTCCCTCGGCGAAAAGTTTCGCCGGCAGACAGATTCGAACCCGCGATTCAGCGCGGCGCGGGGACTGGACGGCGACCGCGGCCGTACTACGCGGCCGCCGGGCTGGACTGCGCCACCGGCACGCGAACAGGTGTCTGCGTGTGCGAGAGTGCGCGTGTGTGAGTGAGAGAGAATGCATCTTCCCGATACGTCCGGGCAAGCCCGCAGACACTCGGTAGCGCAGATTACCGGGAAATGGTTTGGAGGCACCGCGAAGAAAAGAACGGGGAAACCGATACAGTCGATTTATTTCCCAGCAGTGTGTGTGTTTCTGTCTGTCCGCCTCACAGTGGGCCAGAAGACCGGTGGAGGCGGACAAAACTCTAGACGCGCTTTGAGCTCCAGAGTCGCTAAATGGGACTCGAACCGAACGTGTGACCCCACCAATGGATTGCTCTCCGAATAAGGAACCCATTGGTGGGGTCGCAGGTTCGATTCGAGTCCTATTTAGCGACTCTGGAGCTCAAAACGCGTCTAGAGTTTTGGCCACCTCCACCAGTCTTCTGGCCCACTGTGCGCCTGCTTGTCTGTGCAATCCAACACCGGATGCAGTGAGGGGTGGCTGGACGACGGGGGGTGGGGGTGCAAACAGGCGGCAGCCCTGGAGCTCCCAGACGCTTGCAGCAGACTCCATCGTGTCCAGCGCTTCACCCACAGCCTTATCCCTGGTCGGAGTCGCGCAGATGCATCACGAGGAAGGGAGAGAGAGAGAGAGAGAGAGAGAGAGAGAGAGAGAGAGAGAGAGAGAGAGAGAGAGAGAGAGAGAGAGAGAGAGAGAGCGGGGGAGGTAAGACAAAAGAACCACCCACTGATAATAATGTGGAAACTTTGCGGATTCGCCCGTCGCTCCCTCCGGACTCCGGACTCCAGGCGACTCCAGGCCGCCGGACCCCTCTCCCCCTTGTTGTTATGGCAACGCGGACGTACCACGAGTTGCTCAAGCAATCAAACACCCCCCCTTCCCCCTTCCCCCGCCGCGCCCGACCCGGCGCGCTGGAGAGTCCAGCAGAGCTGCAGGCCGCCAAGACGCAGCCCGGCGCAGCCCGGCCAGAAAGCAAAGGGTTCACAAAGCCGTTAAAACTTTTTCTCGGTTCCGCGACTGGCGTAGCCGGGCGTTGCTGGTGGAGGCGGAGGGGGAGGGGGGGAGGTATTCGCGGCGAAATTTACGCGGCGCGCGAGCGGGGGGAGGGGGTGGCAGTGTTTAGACGCCACCGCCCCGCCCCCCAACCCGCCGCACAGTTTTCAACCTTCGCAGAGCAATTTGTCGGCGCAAGACGGTCCGAGCGCCGTCCAGGCCCTCGTCGCGATGAGCGGACGGCCGACCCTGCCCTGGGCTCCTCGCGCTGCCGGGCCTCCGCAAGGACCTGGGGATCAAAGCCAAGAAGCGTCCGGCTTAGACAACGCCCGGGCCGTCCCCCCGGACCGCCGCCGCGCCGCCCCGCCAAGCCCTCGGTCGTCGCGGCAGCCTTCACGGCCACCAAGACGACGACGGCGGGGCGGCTCGCCAGGGAGACGCCGCCCTCTTTCGCAGTCCGTCCCTGTCAGTCTGTCTGTCTGTCTGTCTGTCTGTCTGTCTGTCTGTCTGTCTGTCTGTCTGTCTGTCTGTCTGTCTGTCTGTCTGTCTGTCTGTCCGTCCGTCTGTCCCTGTTCCTGATGCACGTGCGCTCGTCGCTTTTGACATGGTAATGGTGGCCCCTTCGCATGTCCAGGAGAGGGCCCTGCCGACGGAGGCGAACGCACGCACACATGCACACCGCTACACACACGCACGCACACATGCACACCTACACACACGCACGCACACATACACACACGCGCACACACAGAGCTCCCCATTTTCCTGTTGCTGGCGCGGTGGGGCCCAGGCATTAAGCCAACGTACCTCAGTGACCGCCGTGATAAACCTGGGGGCAGAAACACCATCACTCACCTTACGCCAGCAGGGAGAGGGAGAGAGAAGCGGGAGAGGAAGGGGGCAGAGAGAAGGGGCGGGGGAGATAAGCGGCGAGAGGGGGGGGGGAGCCAACAGCGCCGAGTGCATGTCACGCCGCCCGTGCATGATGACGGCATGCACGTTGGAGAGCAAACTGGTTCAGCAAACAGGGTTGTAGGTTCGAGCGGCGCCTGAGGGACCCAATGAGGCGGAGAGGAGAAAACTAGAGCGGCAGTGGCTTTTCGAACTCGCGATCTCCAGAGTCGCTAACCGGGCCTCGAACCGCACGTGTGACCCCACCAATGGATTGCTCTCCGAACGAGGAATCCATTGATGGGGTCACACGTTCGGTTCGAGTCTTGTTCAGCGACTCTGGAGCTCAAAACGCGTCAAGCGCTTGGTCCACCTCCACCGGTCTTCTGGCCCACTGTGCGACGGAGCGCTGCTGCCGCGGCGGACGCCGTGACGGCAGGCAAGCCCGCCGGACTCGGCAGTGTGCAGGATGCCTGTCTGCCGGGCTGACCCAGCGCAACGAAGCGCGCAGCAGCGTGCCTGTCTCTGTCTCTCTCCGTGCCTAAACAGCTCATCAGAGTGATTAGAGGCACCATTGAGGTGGCACTCTATTTGCAATCGATCTCCTCCCCCCTTCCCCTTCTCCTCCTCCACAACGCACACACCAGCCCGATGGTTTCCACCGCATGGCTGCGCTGCTGAGACAGCCCGGCCCTCGCCCGAGACGGGTACACTGTTAGTCATGTACACGCGCACAAACGAGGTGCAGTGGGCCAGAAGACCGGTGGAGGCGACCAAAACGCGTGTAGAGTTTTTGCCTGCCTCCACCAGTCTTCTGGCCCACTGTGCGACTTGGCCGCATGGCATACCCAAAGGGTGCCCCTAAAGAGTACCCCCAAAGGCAGCCCACGCTGACCAAGAGAGTGGGGAGACCATCGTCTTCACTCTCCGCCATGGTCCCCCTGAGGGTTGGCCGGGGGGGCTGCCACCACACTGTACAGCAGCATGCGTCATGGCGCATGACTGCATGACTGCATTCCGCAGTCTGACAGTCCAACGGGGCTCCGCGGAACTCCACACTCCGCCGTGCTTGAGAGAGAGAGAGAGAGAGAGAGAGAGAGAGAGAGAGAGAGAGAGAGAGAGAGAGAGAGAGAGAGAGAGAGAGAGGGAGAGAAAGAGGGCCCGCCGCGGAACGCGCAACAGCCGTCCCTCTGCTGGAAGAGCGCAACAGCTGTTATTCTTTCTGGAGAAGAGTCTCGGCGCTCTCCATGGCGTGGCTCTGCGTGGCTCGGCGTGGCTCGCGTCTCCGGGCGCCGCGTCGCGCCCCCTGGGCGGCGGGGCGGCGAACCAGGCGACGGGGGTTGACTTGGCGGTCCGGCCGCCAGGGGGCGCCACGGAGCGAGCGCTGCACGCTGCGCGACGCTGCGCCGCGGGCAAGTTCAGGGTCAAGCAAGGTCAATACTCCCGCAACCGTCTGGCTGCTGACTCCGTGCGGTCTCTCTCGCACTCGCGGCGCGGCCCGGTGCGGTGCGAGAGAGACGGAGGCGGAGCGGGCTGAGCGGGCGCGGCGAGGGTGGCGGGGCTCGGAAACAGCATCCCCTCTGGCTGCCTCTGGCGGGGGACCCGAGGCTGCCGCTCTGCCGCTCCGCCGCCCTCCGCCCCGGCTGCCACGCAATACAAAACATTTCCACGCCGGCGTCTCGGAATCTCGGAGCGCAACTCGAAGCAACAACTCCGTGGCCAAAGTTTAGCACGCTTTTCACAGAACAGTCACCTTTCAAGTCGCTTTTTGAAAAAAAAAAATTCAACGAGAGAAAGAGGAAATGAGGAAGACGCGCAGCAGTAGAGCCAGGAAAGAAGACAGTAAAAAGACGACAACAATCATTGAACTTTCATCGACGTCTTAAAATCTCAGAGTAATCAGCGGTTCGAAAAAAAATGGCAAGTGGAATTTGGGCGCGAGAAAGTGGAGCAGAGTGGCGTATTGGTTGATGGATGCTCGTCGTGCCGCCACAATCAACGTGAGGTACTCCAAGTACTCGAGGAGCATGATGAGAGGGCGTCACGTTGCAGCAGGCGTGCTCGGCGTGCTGATTGCCGGCCAAGCAGACAAGCCTCTCAGAGTCCAAGTTCCGCGACTCATGTTCAAATACCCGCATCATACCAAGTTTTTTTTTTTTTCGAAATGAAAAATATTCTTGTTTTCCTTTCTTGTTTTTCCCGCCCATGAGGCCAATTGGATGTTTCAAATTAATTGGCACAGAGACAAGTTCCTTTTCAGCCAAAAGTATTTAGTTTTGGTCACTGTTATTGGTTATTTATTTTAATTATTGGTTGTTTGTTTCGATTATTGGTTATTTATTTTGATTATTGGTCATTGTTTTTTTCATTGTTGTTTATTTATTTTGGTTCATGGCTGTTGCTTTTGGTGATTCGTTATTGCTTTAGGTTACTGGTTACTTTGGCTACTGCGTTCGGTCATGGGCGAGTGTGTTTGGTTATTGGCACGTGTCTTTACATAATGGCAAGTGTGTTTGGGTATTTGTCTAGAGCACCTGCAAGACGGGTGGCGCGCCAAACATTGAAAAGTTCTAGAAGGCGTTCTCGGAAAGGGCCCTTACATAACGGTGACGTAGCGGACGCCGAGGTACTCGAAATGTGGGCATATATACCCAGGTGAGGGACGCCTCAACATTGTCTCCTGCTCAAGCCGGCCGCAACATGAACTCCGCCGTCGCCGTCCTCTGCCTCTGCCTCCTGGCCGCCTCCGCCCAGGCCGGAGTCCAGATCAGCCCCGGGAAGTGCCCCGACGATGTCAAAGTGGTCCAGAACTTCGACGCCCAGGCGGTAGGTTTCAGCAAGAGTGCGCAGCGCGCCTGCAAGTGTCCTCGAATGTCTAACGGCGTCTTTGCTTTCCCTTGCAGTACATGGGCCACTGGTACGAGATCGAGGCCTTCTTCCAGATCTGGGAGCTGGCGGGCAAGTGCTCCACCGCTGACTACGCTCTGAACGAGGACGGCTCGAAGGTCATCGTCAAGAACAACATGAAGTCCCTGTGAGTAAAGCACCGCGGTCAAGCCCGGGTTCGCGCCCCGTTGCCGGTGACTTCATTTTCACTTTTTTTTTCGTTTCCAGCATCGGCTCCGACGTGTCCCAGGAGGGCTACGCTGTGGTCACCAGCACCACCGGCGAGGCTAAGCTCGAAGTGACCTTCGACGTGCCCAGTAAGTGAATAGGTGGACGACAAGCACCCTTGTACTAACTAAGCCGCATTTGCTAATAAACGATTGCTTATCCTCAGTCTTCGGCGAGCGTTCCGCCAACTACCTGGTCCTGGACACCGACTACGAGAACTACTCCCTGGTCTACTCCTGCGCCAACGTGCTCGGCTTCAAGTATGGTGAGTACAGAGTTCCGGCGACATAAACCTCCTCCTCCTCCGCACCCCGGCCGGCTCTCTGATTGGTTGTTCCGTTGGCAGAGTCCGCCTGGATCCTGGGCCGCGAGAAGACCCTGGACGCCGCCTCCAGCGAGAAGGTGGAGGCTGCCATCAAGGCCGCCAAGCTCAAGAGGAAGGCCTTCCGCCCCACCAAGCAGGACTGCTAGGGGGTGACTGCCACCGTCATCGACCATCACCACTAAGCACCACATGGAAATAAACCTCGCTTTGTTTACAAAAACAATCTCTCTTATTGCTTCGGCACGAAATCCACTCCTGAGTTCCCCCACTGCTTTCGAAGCTACTCCGCGCGACAGAGACTTCCCGCGCCAACGAGGAAAACCTGTCCGCGCGGAGTATCGGCGAATTGGAGCGCCAGCGCGGCGCATGCAGTGCGGTGCAAGCAGGTGTTGACACTCCGGCACCCACACTGCGGCATTTGACAGCAAGGACGCGAAACGCAGCTGCGCACACTCAACTAAACAATCAGATTCAATCATGTTGTTATGGCCTTATTAGATCTTCACTAAGCATTGATGAACTCAATTGTTAGTTGTGTTGACCTGACTTAGCTGTCTGTTTGTTGTTCCGCTTTGTGAAATTTTAACTGGAGTGATGGAAACGTAAGGAGGTGAAGTAGCTCCTGAAAATGATCAGGCCCTCATTCGACTAAATTTCAGTTGCATCCCATTCCCGATTTGGGGGTGTTTACCCGAAAAGGAACGAAGAAAACAATAAACAAAGGCGGTGCAATAAAAAAGAAGTGCCGGCGAACGACACACGGACGAACGCTCGGGGGTCTGACGGTGTGCCAACACGCGAATACGGGGGCTGTCTACGAAAAGCCATTTCCGCGCTGGGAAAAACAAAGTTTCCGCGGCGTACTCGTCCGAGACTGGGCGTTCAAAGCGCAAAGCATGCAGAGACAAGAGGTAAGTTACGTTGCAATCACGAAGCAACAACGGTTGGTGAACCCCACCTAACCTAACCTAACCTGGTCCCAGGTGATCAATCTGTCTTTCGTTTCGCTCGCAATGTGCGCAACATTGGGGCATCGAGGACACAGCGGCCGTGCCTGTGCCATTCCGTGGAGTGTATCGCGGACCCGTCATCGGACCACCACTCCGTCCACTCCGTGTTCCATGTTATGCAATCGCGATTCGGCCTAAGTGCTCGGCGTGCCGTCGCCACGGCGCCACGGCGGGACGCTCGCTCGGCCGCCGGGGACGCTCACCGGAGCGGCCGACCCCCAACAGGACAGCGATTGGCCTTGTTTACCGGACCATCATTATGACGGGGCGGGATGGACACGACCTTCGGCAGGGATTTCACACACACACACACCTAGCGGCACACGGACACACACGCACAGTTTTCCTCTCACACGGGGCCACACGGACACACGCAGCATGGGGTGTTAGCATGTTGACCACACCACTATCAGGCACCATTGATCTTTGGATCCCCTCCCCCTTTCTCCCACTGTCTCCCCCTCCCCCTCGTGGGCGTGGGAAGTGGCCCCGGTTCGGCGGCGTGTCTCTCCGTGACATGTAAAAGTGTTTACACGTGGTGGCGCGGCGCCCCTGGGGCCCTGGCGCCCCTGGGGCGGGGCGGGGCGGGGCGGCCCTCTGGGTGGCGGCCGCTCTGCGCTGCGCGCGCTCTGCGTTGGTTTCGGCACACCAGTCGCTGGACTGCCGTGCCGCCGCGCCCCGCCCGGTGCAGCCCCGGGGTGGTGTCCGGGGCCTCGGCGTCGAGCACCCCCGCGCGTGTCGCTTCAGATGGCGTCGTCCTGGCCGCCGCCCGGCCGCGGTGGCCGCCCTGGAGGGGGGCGGGGCTCGTAGCGCCGCGGCCTCGCCGTCATGAGCTTCCCGCGGCGGGTGCAGGAGCTGCAGGCCGGCCAAGGTGGGCGTCGTCGGAGTGACATCGGCATCCTGGACGACCTACGACTCTCCCGTCGCCGTGACGTAGCGAACCTCCTGGATGTTTATGCATCCCGGTTCGAAGTATTCATTACTCTCCCCTCCCCTTCGCGCGGCCCTCCCGCGGGGCCCGCCCATGGCCATGACAGCCCCCTCCGCCCACTGCCCCGAACCTCCGCGAACTTCCTAGGTTCGTCGAGTCGGACGCGTCTGGCGCGCCGACCGTCCAAGCACTGATGGAAACTTTATCTGTCGAGGAAGACGCTCGTCTCGAGAGGCCCGAAGGGAATCGTCGCAGTTAGTGGGGGCCGGGCCCGGGCCGCCTGGGCCCCAGATAAGCCGACGACGGCGTCCGTCCGCCCGGCGGGCAGGCAGCCCATCGTGCAGCCCATGGCGGCAACGTGAACCACCCCTTGTTCTTGCAGATGGGAGCCGCACCCGAAGCGTGCGCAACCTGGCGGTCCTGGAGGACGACGGCGTCCTGGAGGACCTGCACGCCGTGGAGCGGCGGCGCGCCTGGACCCTGCCGACCAGCCCGCCGCCCCTCGGCAAGCGCTTCGCCGACGGCGTCCTGGTGCTCGCCGTCAAGCCCAAGGCCGGCGAGGGCGAGGACGGCGACGTCGGCGACGATGTGTTCATGCGGGGGTTCAAGCCGGCGCTGCGCGTGGCGCAGGTAAGGGGGGGTTCGATGGGCGAGTCCCAATTAGCGACTCTGGAGCTCAAAACGCGTCCGGGATTTTGACCGCCACCGCCGTACCGCAGTTCTTCGGGCTGCTCCCCGTCAGCAAGCCCGCCGACCCGCGGCGCGCGTCCTTCCGCTGGGTGTCCCCCAGGACGGCGCTGGCCGTCGTCATCATCGTCGGCGCCGTGCTCGAGGCCTGCGCCGCGGCGATGCGCATGGTGGACACCGGCATCAAGGTCAACACCTCCGGTAAAGCCCTAAAATGTTTACTTTCCCAAAAATCGAGGGGACGAGTGAATAAACTGAAACTCTCCTCCCCGCAGTGCACGCCATGTTCTTCAGCCTGACGGCCGTGGCGCAAATGCTGTTTCTGCGCATGAGCTGCGTGTGGCCGCAGCTGATGCTGGACCTCGCCTCCGTGGACGACAAGTGCCTGCGCGCGTACGGCGAGCCGCCGCGGTTGCGAGCCCGGATGCTGTCCCTCACGGCGGGCTCCTTCCTCATGGCCGTCGGTGAGGCTGCGTCCAGTTAGCAGTGCAGGACGCGTTGGTGCGGAGCGCTGAGTCCGTTTTCCCCGTTTTTCCAGTGGAGCACGGCCTGTCCAACGCGGGCACGCTCTTCTACGTGTGGCCGTGCTACTACCGCGGCGGCCTGCGCCTCGTGTGGCAGGGCTACTTCCTCACCAAGTACCTCAAGGTGACGTTGTGGGGGCGTGGGAGGCGGCCAAAACTCCAGACGCGTTTTCAGCTCAGAGTCGCCAAACAGGACTCGAACCGAACGTGTGACCCCACCAATGGATTCCTCGTCCGAAGACCAATCCATTGTTGGGGTCACACGTTCGGTTCGAGTCCTGTTTAGCGACTCTGGAGCTCAAAACGCGTCCGGGATTTCGGCCGCCTCCACCGGTCTTCTGGCAAATCCACTGTGCACCGTAACGCCGGCCGCTCGCAGACGTTCCAGCTGTTCACGTTCGCCACGTGGAAGGCCGTGCTGCTGCTGTGGCTGCAGATCATCAACGTGTTCGTGTGGAACTTCATGGACCTGTTCATCGCCCTGTTCGCCATGGGGCTGTCGGCGCGTTTCCGACTCGTCAACTCGGACCTGGAGGCCGTGCTGGTCTCCAAGGTGAGGTGGCGGCACTGTCAAAGTTTCCTCGGTAGGCTTAGGTTGGCAACCCTTCCGACACTGGTGCATCGTGGGAAGGTTGGTAACACTGGGTTCGCGCCCTACGGTAGGCAACCCATCGGGCCCCGAAGCGCGCCGCGCAAAAGCACGATGGGTTGCGTAGCCACGGGCGGCGAACGAGTGTGTTGCGGCGAGGGGGTGTGACCGGGGAGAAAGGCGGCGTCCTCGACGTGCGGTCCGTGATCGGCGACCCTCACCCCGAAATACTGAAATAGAATTCCACGCAGTTGTTACGGCGGCGCACTTGAAGGATTGGCGCCTTCCCAAGTCCGGTTCTAAAATTTTAGGCCGGATTACCCCATCTGATACGCGTTGCCGTCGGTGGGCCGTCCGGAACTTCAAACTATCTGAGTCGAACTCGTCTACACACACACACATTTTCTACTCTCGGACTCATTCAAAATACCGCCAGGGCCAAAACAACGAGTTCTGGAGGAAGAAGCGGAAACACTACAACGCCCTGGCCGAGCTGGTGCGACGCGTCGACGTGATCCTGGGCCCGCTCATCCTGGTGTCGTATGCCACCGACCTCTACTTCATCTGCCTGCAGCTGCTGTCGGTAGTCAAGTACGTCACAAAAAAAAGGAATTTTGTAAAAAAATCTGAAATATTTTCTAATTTTTCAAAAATTTCTAAAAATTTCTAAAAATTTCTAAAAATTTCTAAAAAAAAAATTTCTAAAAGTTTCTAAATAATTTCTAAAAAGAACTTTCTTTAAAGTAAAAAAAAATAAAACAGAATTTTCTAAAAATAAATGTTTGGTTTGGCAGTCCTTCGGGCGTGTCCCTGTACCACAAGCTGTTCTTCGTCTTCTCCATGGCGTACCTGCTGCTGCGCATGACCTTCATGACGTACGTGGCGGCCAACATCAACGAGGAGAGCAGGCGGCCCAGGGAGGTGCTCTTCAGCATCCCCACCGCCGCCTACTCCGTCGAGGTCAGTGCCGACTCCAGGTTTAAACGATATCTGATGTGCCGAGATGTTGCCTAGTGGACAGGCTGTGAGGTTGGCAACCCTTTCCACACTGGGTGCATGGTGGGAATTTTAGCCTACTGATGTGGCAGAACTGCTCGTGTTTCTGCCCAGGTGGAGCGCCTGCTCGTCCAGGTGCTGACGGACAACATCGCTCTCACGGGTTGCAATTTTTTCTCCATTTCCCGGTCGTTCCTGCTCAAGGTACGTCGACCCCCGCGCGAAAAAAAATTGTTTCGGTAGTCTCGCAACAACAAAGTCTTTTTTTCTTTGCGCCCTGACCCTGCACACGGCAAGGACGGTTCCTGGTTTTCCCAGGGACTCTCTTCAAATCACCTATTTTTATTTTTGTCTACAATAAATTGCAATTGCAATTCCAATTTACTGTAAGCCGCCGCCGCGGGGGAAAAAAATCAGGAGCCATTTTTTTACCGTGCGCCCTGCGCCCCCTGACCTTTCGGCCCTCTTTCCCGTTTTGTTTTTGTTTTGTTTCTTCGTTGTTGTTGTTGTTGTTGTTGTTGTGACTTTGGGGCACTGCCGTGACAGATCGCGGGCACCATCGTGACCTACGTGGTCGTGCTGGTGCAGTTCAGCGGCAAGGACGCCAACCCCGACGCGGCGCAGAGCAACGGCACCGTCTCGTGCACTTGTGAGGACATTAAAGTGTACACGTGCTAAGTCAAAGTCTTTTTTTATTTTCGTCGATTTTTTTTAATATACACGACATTGATTAACTTAAGGTCTAACATTTGAAAAAAAACATTCATTGCACGAGCAGACTCAGATCTCTTTGTATTTTAAATTTCACTGCTCGTGGACCACAGGGGAGTGAAGTAAAGGCATCATCTGCTGAAAGGAAAAGGCACACTAATCATTGACAAACAGGATGCTGTGCTTGCAATAAATGGTGAACATCGAGGTTGGTCAAATGTACAATTATCATCTTATCACTAGAGTGTCTACGCTCTTAAAACTGCTTACAGGCCAGCACATGTGAACTGTACAAAATGACGACAAACTAAGGCACGTTGCGGTAACAACATTGGCCGAAAGTCCGTGAGGAATGTTTCGGCTTGGGGGGCATCCAAGAATAAGCGCCATCGAACTGCGGGGCGGCCCACGGATTCGAGGGAGTAATCCACGTCATGCAGAGGGGCGCCACCAAGGCATGTGTCCGGCGTTGCACAGTGGGCCAGAAACGCTTCTAATCCATTGGTGGGGTCACACGTTCGCTTTGAGTCCCATTTAGCGACTCTGGAGCTCAAAACGCGTCCGGAATTTTGACCTCCTACACCGGCCTTCTGGCCCACTGTGCATTGGCGTCGATGGACTGCCCCTCCGCACAAACTTTGGGTCTGGGCGCCGCGCGCATGGCGGCACGGCGACGACGAAGGCAGACCGGCGGAGACAACCGATCGGCGGTGGTGTTCGATGTTCGATCGGCGCGGGGTAGCGCCAGTCCCTGGCTGTTCGAGGCGCGGGGTAGCGGCGCTGCGTCACCGGGTCCCAAAGAACACGAGAACGGTCTCTGTGGCGTCGTTTGACGCCAAAATGACTGACTTCAGTTGAAATTTAGACACGAAAAAACATCATTCCGGCGTCATTTCCACTTCCTCTGCGAGAGTCCCGCGTTCTTTGTGGTGCCGGACCCTGGACGGTCACGGGGAGCGCAGCCTGGCCGGCCTCACTGGCGGCGTCTTCTCATCGGCGACCTCCTCGACGGCGTCCTCGGCGGCGTCCCAGGGCTGGATCTCGGCGCGCGCGACCGCCACGTAGATGAAGTTGGTGACGACCAGCACGACGAACACGACCCAGAACGTGAGCCGCCACTCCGCCATCGTCTCCTGGGCACAAGCAAAAGACGCGTTTTGAGCTCCAGAGTCGCTAAACGGGACTCGAACCGGACGTGTGACCCCACCAATGGATTCCTCGTTCGGAGAGCAATCCATTGGTGGGGTCACACGTTCGGTTCGAGAGCTGCTTAGCGACTCTGAGCTCAAAACGCGTCTAGAGTTTTGGCCGCCGGCGCGCGGTGCTCACGTGGGGGGTGAGCAGGCCGATGATCATGGGCGACACGATGCCGGACACGGCGCCGCCGCCGTTGACGAGCGCCATGACGGTGCCGGCGTGGTTCCTGGTGAGGTCCAGGGCGTTGACGCGCATGCCGCTGAAGGCCGCCGCCATGCCGCCCAGCCCGGCCGTCAGCAAGCCCACCGCCAGGCGCCAGTTGCAGCCCGCGCAGGACGCCCCGATCATGCCCGCCGCGCACACCAGCGACGCTGCCAACACGTTTGTCAAAATGAGCACGACGCGGAATGGCGCCGCTAAGTGCGCACCGTCTCGCCCGCCTTGCCCGCCTCGCCGTCAACACGGGCCTACACCACAAACACAGCGCACAGGGCGGAACAGCACGTATGGCCAGGCTACACTGCAAGTGCGGCCGAGCCTCGGACACGCCGAGGTTCGCACAGTGGGCCAGAGGACCGGTTGAGGCACGCGTTTTGAGCTCCAGAGTCGCTAAATGGGACTCGAACCAGACGTGTGACCCCACCAATGAATTGCTCTCCGAACGAGGAATCCATTGGTGGGGTCACGCGTTCGGTTCGAGTCCTGGTTAGCGACTCTGGAGTTCAAAACGCGTGTACAGTTTTGGCCGCCTCCACCGGTCTTCTGGCCCACTGTGACACGCCGAGGTTCGTGCACTGACTAGCACGACCTACAACACCGACCGCAAAAAAATCAAAAAAAAATCTGAGATTAGAACCCGCGACCTTACCGATGGACGTGAAGACCCGTCGGACCTGCAGCAGGGTGAGGATGTTCCTGACGAGCAGCCAGTCCGCGATGGCGCTCATGCCCAGCGACATGACCCACATGGTGAGGTAGGGCAGGGACGACAACACTCCGTTCTGGAACGGTTTCAACCAACAAGTCAGTTTTTCGAGGCCCGATTCGATTCGAGATTCAAAAGTGGCGCCCTCTGGCCGCACTCACCGTGGCGATGTCGAAGCGCAGCACGCTGCGCATGTACTTGGGCAGGTCGGTGAGCATGGTGAAGAAGCCCCAGTCGTGGCCGACCTGGATCACCACCAGCCCCCACACTGGCAGCGACGTCAGGATACCCCGCCACGGCGTGCGCACCTGGAACGCCTGCTTGGAGGCCTGCGGGGGGAGGAAAACCGGCTGAGCGCCTGCGAGGTATGCCGGTCTGTAACACCACCGTGCGCGGCGGGACGGCCTACCCCAATCGCTTGCAGGCGCTCGGCCCACGCAGGCGCGGTCGAAATCCCGGACGCGTTTTGAGCTCCAGAGTCGCTGAATGGGACTCGAACCGAACGTGTGACCCCACCAATGGATTGCTCTCCGAACGAGGAATCCATTGGTGGGGTCACACGCTCGGTTCGAGCGACTGCGGAGCTCAAAACGCGTCTAGAGTTTTGGCGGCTACCCGCTGCTTGGCGCACTCACCGGCATGATGTGCTCATTGAGGTACTCGCGCTCCTTGGCGGAGATGAAGGGGTGCTGGTTGGGCGTGGAGAAGCACAGCGCCACCCACAGCACGTACCTGCAACGAGATGGCCGTCAACGTGGACCAGTCAGTGCAGCGCCGCACCGCCGCCAACGCTCAACACGCACCAAATCACGCCCAGCAGCCCGAAGAAGTAGAAGGTGATGGGCCAGTCGAAGTTGTGCAGCAGCAGGCCGCTGATGGCGTTGCCCAGCACGGTGCCCAGCTGTCCGCCTGTCGAGCAGAAGCAGGCCGTCAGCCACAAGGTTACGTTTACCTTTCCGTCTACCTCACAGGCGACAGCCAGCCAAAGCAGAGAGGGGCGTCTGTGACATCCAAGACAAAGCATTTCTGTGGTCACAACGCTGTGGCCGCAGACGGGGACGTCGTGGCCACACTGCACACTTCGTAGTCACGTGGTCACGTACCTGCGTACACGAAGGCGCCCACCCTGCTGCGCTGTTTCGGCGGCACCCACTGCGACAGTAGCGCGCTGATGGCGGGAAACGTGACGCCCTGCCAGAACGGCAAGCGATTGTGAGCAACTGGACCTCTGTCTTTGCAGAGTTTGATGCACGATGGGACAGAAGACCGGTGGAGGCGACCAAGACTCTAGACACGTTTTGAGCTCCAGAGTCGCTAAATGGGACTCGAACCGAACGTGTGACCCCACCAATGGATTCCTCGTTCGGAGAGCAATCCATTGGTGGGGTCAACCGCTCGGTTCGAGCCCTGTTTAGCGACTCTGGAGCTCAAAACGCGTCTAGAGTTTTGGCCGCCTCCAACGGTCTTCTGGCAAATCCACTGTGTGAACGCACCTCGCCCAGCCCCATGAAGACCCTGAGCGTGATGAGCCAGCCGGCGCCGAGGCGGGCGGCGGGCGGCGACAGCAGCGTGGTGAGGCTGGTGATGAGCAGGCCCAGGCCCAGCGCGTGCTTGCCGCCGAAGCGGTCCGCGAACACGCCGCCCGGGAGGTGCGACACCACGTAGCCGTAGTAGAAGGAGCTAAGGATGAAGCCCTGCAGCACCGAGTCCCACGCGAACTCGGCGGCCGCGTCGGGCTGCCGATCCGTTTCCGGTCAGGGTTGCCGCCCACGGTGCGCCAGTGTCGGAAGGGTTGCCAACCTCAGCCTGCAGGCAGGTCGCCTGCAGCAGCGCAGCCCAGATAGGGCCCAGCAGGCGGGCTGAGGTTGGCAACTCTTCCGACACTGGTGCACCGTGGAAATTTCCGCCTCGCAGTGTGGCGACACTGCTTCCGGTTCGGGGTTTCACAGTGCTCCCACCTGCGGCGTCAGCGAGGGTCCGCCGTCGCCCTGCTGCGGGTTCTCCGGGCAGCGCTCAGGGTCCACCGCCTCGGTGGCGTTGTCGCCGCTCGGCTCCGCGTGGGCCATCTGCACGATGGCCACGGACAGGCACACGCGCATGGTGTACATGTTGAGCACGGCGAGGAACAGCATGAGGTACAGCACGTACCGCTGCTGCACCCACGCCGCGAGACCTGCACCGGTAGCGCGGTTAGTAGCGCCGCCGCGCGCCGAGCACATGTTCGACGGTTCGCGCCGCGGTGGCGGTCGCGGTATTTCTCATAGCTCACCCATGGCGAGCGGCCGAGCGGCTAGCGGGACCGCGTGGAGGTGGAGAGGAAGGGTTTGCAAGTCACCGCGTGGCCGCGCCCCCTATGCGACGTCCTTCTTCGCGCTCGGGTCCTGGACGAGTGTGGCGCGGCGGAGCGGCGGAGAGACCAGCCAGGGAAAGCAGGCACTCGGTAATCTTGCGCCAAACGGTCGCCGGCTGCGCCAACGAGTACGACTTGGAGTGAGCGCGGTACGCGGTTAGCGAGTGAGGCGGACTCTGGTTCGCCGCGAGTCTGCAGAGGGCGCTAATATTAGAGCGGCGGTGATTGGTCGGGGCCGTCAGGTGGCGCGTGCCGCCCCGGCCAATGGGAGCGCGCGGCCGGCCCGCCGAGCTTCGAACAGAGAGAGGGTCAGCTCGGCCGCGTGAGCGGCGAAGAGTTTGGAACCTTAGCCGGCCCACTAGACAATCAGGGAAGCTGTCTGTTTGGCAACCCTTGCGACACTGGCGCGTCATGCGGAACTTGGCCCCAGCAAACGGATTCCTCGGTTAATTAATTCGGCTCGAGATTTCGATGATAATGAGGCTGATGATTCACTTTGAAGAGATTCCCATGTCATGCCGTTACAAAAGGCGCCGCGCACAGGGCGACGGAGTCTCGGCTTATCGAAATCCCGCAAAGCCCCTCGGCTTAGCGCGACTGCCGACTCTCTCCCTCCCTCTGTCCCTCGCTTCTCTAATAGCCGCGTCCAAAGGTCTCCAACGAAAACGCTCTCAAAAGAACAAAGCACGCGTTTATTTGGAATGAGATTTCTTAATAATAATAACAAAATAAGAATGCATTGTAATGACACGTTTTAAAAGAGAAAACATCCAACTACATAATCATGCACTGGAGCGGTGGTTAAAAACATTTAAAATCATTGAAAGTGGAGCTTAAAACTAAACATTGTTCGAACACATTTTAGCACAGGGCAACACCATGTCAAATAACTTTCTTCAGATTACATATTTGAAAATGTTTTTTCATATCTCTTTTACTTCTAAATTTTCTGTCACAAGTGAGACAGGGGAAGGGTTTTATCCCCAAGTGTACCAGCAAGTGCTCTTTCAAATGGTTTACAGCTTTGAAAGACCACGGACAGAATGAGCAGCGGTAAGGTCTGTCTGCACTCTTCTTCTTGGAAGGCGGGCATTTGAACCTAGGAGGAATTAACACGCCGCGATGGACAGCTAGTCGCGGAGTGGGCTTGCCTGGCGAGCCGTACTGGCTTTTGGGCTTGCCTGGCGAGCCGCACTGGCTCTTGTGCTCGCCCGACGAGTCGCACTGGCCCTGGCTCTTGTGCCTGGTCAACCATGCCTGGTTCTTGAACTTCTTTAAACACTCGTGGCACTTGAAGTAATCACTGCTGGAGTCTGTTATTTCCGGGGCCGCAGCGGCCTTTTCGGCCGAGAGGGTTGCCCCCGAGGTTGCCCCCGAGGTTGCCCCCGCCGGCCCGATGGAGTGAGACTTCCTCCGGTGGATTTTGAGGCCCGTGCGGCCCTTGAAGGACCTGTCGCAGAGGTCGCAGGGGTGAAGGTCGTGCGCCTTCCGGTGGCAATACAGCGACATCTTGCTGCTGTAAGTCTTGCCGCACCGCTTGCAGGCGTACCGCAAGGGCTTGGCAGTGTCGGCCCCGTCCGCCCCCGCTTGAGGAGCGCCAGGAGCGTCCACGGCGCCCTCGTCGACGGCGTCCTCGCTGTCGGCGTCCTCGCTGTAGGCGTCCTCGTTGTCGCCGTCCGCGCCGTTCCCGCCGCCGCCCTGCCCGCCGCCTCGGTCCTCGCCGTCCTCCCCGCCGTCGCCGCCGCCGCCTCCGCCGTCACTCTCCCGTGCGTGCTTCCACAGGTGGAGCACGAGGGCGTCGGCGTTGGGAAACTCCTCGCCGCAGAGGTCGCAGGTCGCCGCTTCGTCGTCGCTGTCGTGCCCGCCATCCTTGCCGCCATCCTTGACGGCGTCCTTGCCGCCATCCTTGACGGTGTCCTCGCTCTCGCCCTCCTCCTCGCGCAGGCGCGCGTGCGTCCACAGGTGCAGCACGAGGGCCTCCGGGTTGGGGAACTGCTCCCCGCAGACGTCGCACTCCAGCACCTCGGCCTCCTCGCCGTCCTCGGGCACGTAGGCGGGCAGGTGGGTCTCGAGGTGCTTGCCCAGGGCCGCCGCGCCGGGGTACGCGCGCTGGCAGACGCTGCAGGTGGCGAAGCTCACCGTCCTGGAGGACGAGGACGACCCGCACTCCGACTCGGCCGAATCCGCCTGCTGGGCTTCCCCACCCACCATCCTGCGGGAAAAAAACAAGGGAGAAAAAGGTCAAATTCTCAAATGTTTTCAAATTTTTATGTCAGACTGTCTCAGGAGGTCTATGTCGCCGCGTGGGGTGTTAAGAAACTAATTCAAGACTTCAAGGCTTTCAGGGCGGCGCCGGATGATCCCCCCCCCCGGCGGTTTTTTCACTCCCGCCTTTTCGACAGGTACCTTCGGGCGGCGCAGGGGGGCACGGGGCACAGGCACTCACCAGCCAAGCACCAACCCAACAGTTCAAGCCAGGGGAAGAACAATGAAGTCAATGCACTGAAAATTGCCGCCTCGGTAACGAACGACTACGGTTCCCTCAAAATAAACGCACGTCTGCCCCGCAGCCCGAATACAGGTTCGGTTGAGGTTATGGGTCCAGAACTAGAATCAAAACTGTCTTTTGATTTATTTTCATGTTGGGTGGACATACCTTGGGGTGAATGGAAGCTCAGGAATGTTGAAAATATATCACTTCCTTAATGACAACACATTTTTCCTTTAGATTTATAAGAAACCAAACACCCAAACACACTTGAAAATTTCAAAATATCAACACGGTGGAGTGAGAGAGAGGGGGCAAAAAGGTTTAGCCAACATGACACAGGAAAAATAGGATCAAGATTCCTCTCACTGTGACACCACCAAAAGATGATTTTCTGGTTAGATACCCTTTCATAAGTTCCATTTTTTGACTTTGGCTAGGTTTCGGTAACTTTGAGATTAGCTTTAGCCATTTCCAAGACAAAGTGTTTTCGGCAACAGGTGGCAGGGAGCAGTTTCTCCGACCCACCGCTAGAGAGCAGCACCCATGACTACCAGCAGAAAAGCTGTTGGTAAAGAAGCATGGACGTCGCAAGTGAGACGCTTGAACTTCAAGTAGTGGCGTAAGAAACTGCAAGCACGACACCGATTCGATTACATCTCGATTCCCTTATAAATATACTTCACGTAAGTGCTGGCAGCGTTCGTTAAAATTGTCTGTTACAGCTTGTCACTGTTAATGTCTCGTTCCTAACCTGTAGTGTTCAGCAGCTCTTGTCAAATAGTAGTGGAAACAAACTGCAACTGCTTTTCTGTTAATTATGATCGATTTGGCGTGTCGTTTCAGATTCCTCGTGCATCATGCCATCTCACAATGAACCAGAATTACCTTCCAAAGCTGGAAATGGTGGATCGGCTGAATCAAGCTCCAGTAGTTCGGCTCAAAATGAGCCGGAAGCCAACCAGCCCGAGCATAGTGACAGTGATGTACAAAATGATGGCGAAAATGAAGACATGAGTGATGCAGAAAATGAAGGCTCTGATGGTGGAGAAGATGGAGACGAGGAGGTTCCTTCTTCTGATGATGATAGCTCTGACATACCCATGACAGATTCTGATTCGGACATGTCTGATGCCGAAGTCTCGGAAGAAGACAATAATGAATCTTTTGAAGGTAAGTGTCCCTAAGATGTTTGTGGGTCTCAGCTTAGGCTTTGCTAAGAATGTGTCACGATATAATCAAGAATTGTCATGAGCAAATAGTAGTGTACAGGCGATGTGCACCAATAAGTTCAAGTCTCAGGGAAATTTTCTGATCTATCAGATGCTTTAGATGAATGGACTGGAGACGTTATGTTGTGTCTGTTGTTTGTATCACTTACAATCACCAGGCACAGTTCAGTTTTTTGTTTCATTTTATTTGAATCCTTTCTGGAGTTGTCCAAGTGTTTGCACCTTTTAATTTTTTTTTTCAAACTTTTTGTTGTTCTACAGACTATGTCTTGCAATTTATGTCCATCCCAGGAGAAGAGATGCAACAATTTTTATCACTGTTTTCCAGAGTTATTGAACTTTTAAATAATTTTGTGTCGAGGCCATTTCCTTCCGCCCGTGAACAAATGGTGTCTGTCCTAGGAGACCTAGACAGCCTCCTGTCTCATCTATTAGCCGTCCAATCAGGAAAGCGGGAGGAGTAGTTTAAATTTAAATGGCCTCCATTCCCTTTGGCTGTGCTAATATCCAATCTAAACTTTTTTTTTTTTTTTTTCTATTATTAGTTGTTCTTACCAAGCCAGTATTAAATAATATTTTGAAAAGTTTGAGTGTCTTAAGGATAAATACTGTCTTTTCAAGACGGTTAAGACATAGATGAAGATAATGAAACTTCCTGTTTGCATATTTTTCTTCACATTGTCATTTGTTTAGTGTCAGGTTCTTGCCACTTCCGACTTGTAGAAGTGTTAAATGCTGAAGACCATAAGCTGCATCTGAAATTTACAGACAAAATGTTTTCTTATTATTTTAAAAATCTGGATCTGTGACTTCTTTCCTGCAATATTATTTTAGACTCCCTTTTGTCATTTAAGGCCTTTTATTTCCTACTCCATAAGATAACATGGCAAATAAATATGGTTTTCAATGTATTATTTTAGCATAAAAGAGCATTGTTCCGTTGTCCTTAACGCTATGTTTGCAAGTTTACATATTATGTTAGTTATTTCAAGTCAGTGGACCCTAATTAATTGTTAAAGTTTTGCTTTGTCTACTGCATTTTTGTGCCAAATATTATTTTTTTGTATGTTTCCTTGTACAGTAATGCCTGTTCTCTATTAAATTGATTATTTACACCCATCTTGAAATTATCATTTTTGATAAGCTTTGTCCTAATATCAAGTTTGACATTAGCCATACACGCGGAGGTAGGATTTGTTAAAAGTTGAGGTTTCTAGATATCTCCGATTGTAGCCTATTCCGCAAGATAAACTTCAATTGTTATTTGCAGAGTTGTTGCTCTTTTTAAGTTTATGGACCCCTTTGATGAATATCTGATTCTTTGCAGTGAAACCTGTGCCCCTTCCTGAAGAGTTTTCGGAGCTAGCAGCTGGCCGTGAAGTTGATTGTGATGATGATGAGGTGGTTCAAGCTATTCTTCGGGCCCGTGAAAAAAATAGAAACCATCCACCTGCAATTGAATGTGAAGATGGAGTTGCAGCTTTGTCATTCCACCCTCAGGAAGATATGATTGCTGTTGGGACATTTACTGGTGATGTAGTTATGTAAGTTAAACTGATCCAGGCTATGCCTGCAGATGTTGTAGTTAGTTACTAGAGTTCTTTGACTTTCTTTTGCATCTATCATAGATACAAATACTCTGATGAAGAGTGTGAGCTTTTGCACACCCATGAGTCGCACGTGAAAGCTATTCGTGAAATTGAATTCAGTAAAGATGGTAAAAATATCTTCAGCGCATCAAAAGACAAATCCATTCTTATGACAGATGTTGAAACAGGGAAGTTGACGAATTTATGGGACCAAGCTCATTCGTAAGTTGTTTAAGATAATTGAACTTGTTTCATTCAGTAGTAGTTTGTAAAAATTATTTCTGACAATACTTTACAACTTTGCAGATCTCCTGTTCATTCATTGTATGTTCTTGACCAAAATCGGTTTTGTTCAGGGTGTGAAGAGGGTCATGTTAAATGTAAGTCAAGTATGAAAATTCTTTTGATCAACATCAGAAGAACTGCCATTACATCTGCTTTCTCTTTAATCTCATTTCAGTGTGGGATTCCAGGCAACGTGAACCTGTTTTCTCTTTCCAAGTAATGCAGGACATGGTGACTGACATTATTTCAACACCACAATGTAGGCACTTGGCAGTTGCTTGTGGGGGTACAATTACCTCTATTAACATAAATGCTAAAAAAATACAAGTTCAGGTATTGACATTATTTTAAATGCTCTCTAAATTTTCACTGTGTATTGGATTTACTGATCTTTCTCTTTTGTTTCTGTGTTTCCCAGTCTGAGGAGTATGAACATGATTTCACATGCCTCGGTCTATTCCGAATGGATTCTAAATTACTAGCTGGTTCATCAAAAGGTTCTACATACATGTTTAATTGGGGAGAGTTTGGTTACCACTGTGATGAAATGCCTGGTTTTAAGCAGCCTGTGAGCTGTCTTTTACCTGTCACAGAGACAGTTGCGATAACTGGATGGGAAGATGGAAAGATAAGGCAAGCTGCATGCACCTTTTATTTCTTTGCACCTTTTCTCATTTTCTTGAATTTCAATGTGGACTTTACATCTTCATTGCAATGATTGTGTGTGTGTTGCTGTTGCAGGGCTACTCACTTGTTTCCTAATCAGTCTCTTGGAATAGTTGGCCAGCATGACTTTGCCATTGAGTGTCTAGATATTTCTAACAATGGCACAATCATCGCTTCCTCCGCTGCAGCTGGAGGTTTTGTAAAGTTCTGGAACATTAAGTATATTGAAGAGACCCAAGTTATCCGAGACAACTTCAACAAGAAGAAGAAAAAGAAGAAGCCAAAACTGAATGAACATAATCTACCTTCCTCTCAATGCCGTAATAAAGGTGAATTCTTTGCTGACCTTGCAGGCCCTAGCTGATCTCTCTTTTTAGTTGTCAACTCATTTGTTACCCTTAAACCAGATGTCTCATTAAATTTTGCTGATAAAATTAATTCCTGGTGTTGTACATTCAGTACTCCTTCAATTTCAAACATTCATCGTGCGTGAAGGTGGAAGGGGGTAAGAAGAAAACAACAAATTAAATCAACAAGGGATTGTGAAATTAAAATAAATATATTCATAACCTTCATCAATAGATATAGAATGTCATATCATACAAAACCATATGCAAGCTTAATATGTACAAATTTGCAAATGGTCACAGCCATGACTGCACATTAAGGTCTAGCCTAGGTCTGACAAAATAAACACTTGACTGGATTAGGTGAGTGGAAAATATAAAGGACAAGAGTCATTAGAGCTCAAAAAAAGGTTAGTGAAGGTATCCCTTTAAAATTCCCGACTAGTTCACATACAGGTATAAGAAAGAAACGGCAGAGGAAAAATCTCAACAGTAACTAAGAAAGAAAAAAATCATAGAAGAGATGGCCTATTTTGAGTTCATATCAAATAGTAGCACAACAAATATATCAGAAACCCAAAACAAGCTAAGAAAATGTCCATAAAACCTATACCAAAACAGAATGCTGCAATGTACTACAGTACTCCAAACCATGAATAGGTTTTTTTTAAGGAAAGAAAATATTACAACTAATCAACTTCCAGGAAGACATCAGACCACAGTTCAAGGCACAATCACAGACACCTTACTAAGTCGACCAGCACCATGTTGAGGCATTTATTTGCCATTGTTGTAATTTTTCAATGCATTTTAGGGGTGTTATTGGAAAGTAAAGTAACTTTAAATACATCATAGGACATGACAAATCATAACTGTTAGAGGCAAGTTGACCAGATATTCAGAGGAGCCCCTGCTATGACATTGGTGTTTCTGTACAATGGAAGTTGAAGTAAAGAAGCTATAGTTACAAATCAAATAAAAACTATACAAACTATTTTCCAATGAGTGTTATATTACAGAACTTAAAAAGCCCAAAAATCACACATTTCTGTTCATAAAGCGTACAACAATCAGTGATTGCCAGGAAATTTATAACATTCAAAAGGGAGCATTTGTCATTTCTCTTTAGGTGAGATCAACAACAAAAAAGCACAAGTGACACCTTCTATCATCACAACTTATTAACTTTTATGCCTGTTGAGAATCACACTAAAAATGTTGCTGGCTGATCAACAGAAGCAACACTAGTAAAACCAAGTGATTGACCTTGCCCCTCACCTTATCTTAAAGTGATACGACTTTTGGATTGAAATAGAAATTGGGCCTTTTATCAGTATTAAGAACAAGGACCAGTCAATGCCTTAAAAACTATTGAAATTAGTCCAGCAAAAATAGAAAAGTTGACATAGGATGCTGTACTCAAATATTACCAACAATAATGACAACAATAACCATGAATTGTTGATTGTAAACAAGTAGTCAAAATACAATACAAAGAAATAGTTTGTGTTAAGTAACATGCCCATGATAAAATATTTTGTAAGTATTTTGTAAGGAATACTGAGATCTTCACACAGTACTCATGTTTAAGCTACGAGATTCATGGCATGAAACAACAAATCTGAAGAAGTAAAATTACTTTACAATGAACACAGTAAACACCTACAAAATAGAAGTCAGAGCTTAATAACTGTACAACAACAACAAAATATTAAGGATCCCTTGCAACAAACAACAGAAAAGGGCTAAAAAACTGCAATGCACAGTGGCACAGGTGGTCAGTTTGGCAAAACAAGGAGACTAGCAGAGTGATCAATCTCTTTGAGCAAATGAACCTTTTGATAGGCCTGCAAATCCATCCTGATTAAGATATTGGAATCCAAACGCCCAACTGGACCCAGGTCAATTTTTCAATTTCAAATTTCAAGAAGATTTGATACACTGATCTAGATGATTGCAAATTTCTACTCTTTGAATAGGATCTAGTTGAGTCAATGTACAGAGTGTATGAACAGAGTACGGACCAACAGATGCAAAAGTAAGCATATCAGATGTAGAGGTAAATATTAACATTTCCTCTACTGAACACTGACTGGCAAATATATTTTATATAAACTGAAGGCTTCTCCCATACATATATGATTAAACATTAAGTGAGTGCCTAACAAGTGCACACCCTTCTTAATTTTTATAAAAAATTAAAAAAACTTCAATTTGGAATGATAGCATAGCATTCCTCCAACAATGAGATATTCACTGTAACCAAACCAGATTCTCAAGAAGAAGAACATGTCCGGCAGTACTGTCCTTCTTCCTTGGAATCTAGTTGTCTTTGAGTGATATAGCCTAGATAAATGAACACAATAATGATGTAAACTGACACATACAAAAATCTAGTACAGTGTACCCGTATCAATACCGTTTGGCATCTGAGTCACAAGTTCGTGTTTCTAGCAACAATTAGAGACCAAAGTATCCTGTAACTACTGTACATGGTTAATGTTCAGAATGACAAAACAATTTTGAAACCCTGGAAGACTTACATTTCAGAATATTTCATTTAAGGAAAGGAGAAAATGTTTTGTAAACAAGTCACAAATACAGCATATGGAGAAACTGGAGTTAAGAACACATAATGAGTGCTTTGTTCAAGATCTATGGCATAAGACAACTAACAATCCATTTCAATTACAGCCAGAACTCAATAGAAACCAATGGCAATGCTTCCTCACAAGACCTTTACAGCAGTTAAACTGAAGTGAAAAAAGCTGACAAACAAACTTAACCAGGCAACATGATTTGTATAGCTACAGTATGTCACTTTGGCACACAAGCAAAGCTCCATGCGATGGAAGACTGTCTTCTTACAAACGTGCCATAGATGGAGAAAACCCTTTAAAAAAAAAAAACCAGTCTCAAGACATAAAACCAAGAGCTGTTTTTTTTTTTTTTTTTTTTTTTTTTTGTTCATACAACTTAGTTTGAACATGACACAAATTTCTATGACTATTGAATGTGGGTTCTGAAAGAGACCATGCAAGCTCATCAGCAATATATTCTTATTTGTAGAACAAAGCATCAGGTTCAAATATAACCTTTCAAGCGGGGAGAGAGTTGTAAATAGAACTTATGAGGCTTTGTATCAATTGGAACCTTAACTGAACACAAAGCTAGCATTACTAATATAGGAACAGTACATAGTACCTATGGTTTGAGGTTTACATGCTCTACCTGTACCAAAAATAACATTTTATAGTCATTAGATGGCCCCTCACACAAAACAGTGAAGTTTACATTTGATAATCATTAAGGTACTAAACTGGGGATCTCTGCACTGTTCTAATGCCAACTTTTTCTGCAAAATTACCTAAAATACTGCTCAATCCTGAATCAGAATTTTTTAGATTAAAGCCTACAGTAGAAAAGTAAGCATTATAGAAGAGGGTGCGCACCTTTTCTAACCTGTCTTGCCTCCTGCAAAAATAAAAAATTGAAGTGTTAATATTTATAGTTTCAACTTCATGAAAGCAAAGTTTCAGAGATAAAGTTCCAAACTAACATTTCTGCAGCAGTAGGTTGTTTACTATGAATGAAACAATCATCCTCAGTCAATGTACAACTTGACTCAGCAGAGACTTGACTGTCAACCCTAAAAACAAGCAAAAAATTGAAACTGTGTAAAAAGAGAGAGAGAGAGAGGGGGGGGGGGGGAGATAAAATAAGATAAAACTAGGATGACTCACATATCTGCATTACAGCTACCATGTGAATGCACAGATCTTGGTGTGATGGAACCACTGTTAGAGGCTGTGGAAGCAGATCCTCTCAGACTACCTGTGCCTGATATAAGTTGCCAACTGGATAAGATGAGACACAAGTTCAACAGAGGTTAATTTTTCTACAGGTACATTCATAATGATGCAAAAAATCTACACAGAATAAAAGAAACAAGCGTGCCCACCTGCCAACACTGAGGGATGAGCCACTTGACTCTTGTCGCTGTCGTAATCTGCTCGGCACTGGGACTGCCACAGGACTGGTCCGGCTACTCGAAGGATGCGGTGACCTTGGTGTTGCGGTAGGTCCTAGTGCAGGGTTGCTGTCAACCAGAGACGACCATTGTTGATTTGGGTACCTAAACATTTGAAAAATGATAAAAATTTGAAAATTACAAGAGGACATTATCAAACAGTCGACTTTAATAAGAGTTCCACCAACCCTTCATCACAACCAGCAAGGTGAAACACTGCAGGAGGATTGTTATCTGCACTACACCAACTATTTAAACTGACATTGGAGCCACTGAGGGACAAACAATCTAGATGGGGCTCGCTATCAGTGCTTTGTCTGAGTCGAGATCTGGAAGAAGGAGATGCGAAGAGTTTACCAACATGAAGACACGTCAACAAAATTAGACAAACTTTTATAACTTCGACAAAAATTTGTCAATATGATATGAACAAAACAGAGTAAACTGACCTTGAACCTATACTAAACTCCTCACTTGTTATGTGCTTCAGGAAATAAAAGCAGAAAAAGAATATTTCTTCTCCTTTGTCCAGACGATCCTCAAGATTATGTCCAAACAATAACCAGTCATAAGCTACTGTAAGATATAATATTTGAGCAGGTCCCAACGAGCGATGTGCTAGACCATCGGCCCACAATGACAACCGCAGCAATGATACAAACAATGGAGTTCTGTCCCAGCCAGAAATGCAGTGGACTAGCAAACCAGAGCTCTGCTCTGATAAATAATGCAGTAAGAGGTGCATATAATTCTGGGTTAATTTGATAAGATCCCATTGCTGTCAGGAAAAGATAAGATGAATAGTTTACGTGCTGGAGGTAAAATGCATGAGAAAATATTGTCTATCACGTTACCTTGTAACGATCCCATTTGATAGGAAGCTGTGAAGGAAAAGGGTCCTCAGGAACAACAATGCTAGCATCCACATGAGCCTGCCCCCAATCAAACACAAGATCCTGAGCCTGATAATTGTTATCACGGTACTGGCGGAAAAATTCACATCCTGGATATGGTAGTGAAACAATTGTGAATTCCGAATACCGATTTTCTTTATCAACTTTCTCTGATGACGTAACACTGCAAAAAAAAAGATGGAGAAGTACAAATGAATTTTTGTTCCAAGAACTAACTGGATAGCAATACGAGCTAAAATTAGGATTCATACTTGACTCCAAATTTGACCTTCTTCTTTTCCAACATTAGGTCTACAATAGTGCCAACATTGAACAGTTTGAGAAGTCTGATGTCTTGACTTCTGACTCGGTCAAACAGCTGCCAATCTCCTGATGTAGGGGGTCTCTCGTCTACTTCTTCATCCTGTTTAGATTCTTTCTCTTCAGGTTCCTTCGGAGTGTCACTCCCAGAGAAAAGATAGTCTAGCCCAGAGCGTCCGTAAATTTCTGGACCGCCAGATAGAGTGGCAGACCTAAGAAAATAAATTGGTATTAATTTTTTCAAACAAACAAAAATACAGAGATGGGCATTTATCAGAGGAAAAACTTAAATACCTGCAAATATGTTTTCCCTGATATAAGATTACAGGAAGTGGAAATCTTGCACGGCATCTGGCAAGTCTAGCTTTGCTAATTAAATCACGAAGCCTGGTTGATTCAGTAACTGATTCACTGGCACTTTCATAAATGGTGTCACTTTGTCGGAGCCTCACATCTTGTCGGTTAAGAGTATGAATTCGTTCTTTTTCTAGAACTATCAGGCTACTAGGATAATGTGCACTTAATTCTCCTCCACTATTGCTCACAACCTTAAACCAAAAGAAAGGGAAAAGAAAGAAATATGATCAAATTGAATGGGAAAAAAGGACACCTTAAAGATAGAATACTATCAAAGAAATTGGTAGACAAACCGAAATATCATAATCTATAGATATCAAATCTATACATCGTTGCATAATATCTTGGCCCTGGAACAGAAATATTATTAATTATGAGAGATAAAGATAAACTTGTACAAGAAAAAAACTAAGAAAAAATAAGTGGTCAAAAATTATGCACGGCTCTGAGATTAAGTACATAATATGGTGAAGATGTCCAATTCTTCAAAAGACCTTGTATGCAGAAAATGCAGAAAAAAAATTGGCACCGGGACCACGAGATCGCTTTGACACACATCGCCTACCCGTGCGGACAAACAATACAACGATGCCGCAGTTTGCAAGTGATATGCCAGATCCACCTCGGGAAGCGGTAATTGAATAGGTTTTGACAGTTAGAGCAAAACATTTGCGAGTGTTTACATGTTATTTAGGTTATGACACCGACACGAAACGCCCTTAGCCACCCCGTCCCCTGCTCTGGCATGAGCCTACCTACCTGTTTGTCAGTCTCCTTCGCCTTGTAAGTATTCTTTGCAAAATACTCAAGGAGCTGGTTGATGTCCTGCAGCTTTATGTCATCCATTTCAACAAATTAATAGCAATCTCCGCGTAAATTGAGTATCCCAGGCGTTGAAAACAAGTTTACACATGGCAATTTTTTCGGTACACTGATTCGTTCCGCGATATTCACATTGACATTCAGGTTCCCCATACGTTATTTGCAGTGTAAGTGGAACTGCGCGCGCTCAGGCAACTTTCATTATGCTTTCATTACAGTATCATCCATAGCTCATCGTTAGCGTTCAAAATTACACATCAGCATCAGCTCTTTAATAGCAAATGTCAATGAAACGGCAGCGCGTGCGGCTGGTTTAGACATTCCTGTCCTGCGAATAGCCGTTGTCAGTGTGTCGTCTGATCCATTCATAAGTACAGAGCTTTTGGTGCAGTACGCCGAACAGTACACGTGTAACTTGTTACATTTGACGTACCCGACGCCCCTGCGGCAATGGTTTGTTATTTTCTCACATTATATTTAGTGAACTGGTACCCCTTTATCTCAGTGTCTGGCTTAATTGTGCATGTTTAGGGGGGCACATCTGGCTGATGTAACCTCATACGTCACGCGTGCATATGTTAAATTTGTATTTTTCCTCTCTTTGCTTTGTTTTTGCACTGGTATATGGTGTTATGAGTCGTTAGATCTTAAATTTTCTAGTCGTTTTGGAGCTTACTCGGATAAAAGTTTGCTGTAAACAAACCGGCTCACCGGCCTGCCGGTGCGTTGGTACCTGCGTACCTGCTGACGGGAACCAGTGAATGAGTACTGCTACAAAGTGCTGTTATGTGTCAACATTCTGCTCTGTGCTTCGTTGCAGGCGGGGAATCTCGATCGTAAAGGCACCTTCAAGGTCGAGTACCTTCAGAAGATTGAGAAGGATGTCCAGGAAAAATGGGAGCGAGAAAAAGTTCACGAAGAGGATGCTCCCACTACCCCCAGGAAGAGCTCCGATGAGAAGTTCTTTGTCACTTTTCCTTTCCCCTACATGAATGGGCGCCTTCATCTTGGGCACACATTTTCTTTATCCAAATGCGAGGTATTGCATTGGTGCTCCATGCAATTCGAAAGGAATCCTTCCTGCCACTATTGTTTTTGTGAAACTTTTGTTGCTCTTTCCAGTATGCTGTCAGATTCCAGAGAATGAAAGGAAAGAAAGTGCTTTTTCCATTTGGCTTTCATTGCACTGGTATGCCCATCAAAGCATGTGCGGATAAATTGAAACGAGAAATTGAAAGCTTTGGCTGTCCGCCTCAATTCCCAGCCGATGAGACGACTTCTGTCACTGAGGAAGTCGAGGAGCTAGTTATAAAGGACAAGAGTAAAGGAAAGAAGGTAAATGCCTTTGGCTCTATTTTAATGTGCACTGAATCTTCATAATGTCCATTTAACTAAGCATTATTTATTTTGTACTCTAGAGCAAAGCCGTTGCCAAAACTGGGTCTGCAAAATACCAATGGCAAATTATGCAAAGTCTAGGACTCAGTGACGAGGAGATTTCTAAGTTTGCTGATGCCTCTCACTGGATAGAATTTTTCCCACCTCTTGCAATTGCTGACTTACGCACTATTGGTGTTCATGTAAGTAAAGGCCAATGTTTTGATATGTTCAAATTTTCTCTTAGATCTGGCTTCAATTTTTTTCTTTATAAATTTTAGGTTGACTGGCGCCGCACATTTATAACCACTGATGCGAATCCTTATTTTGATTCATTTGTAAGATGGCAGTTCATTCATTTGAAAGCGAGGGGTAAAATTGCATATGGCAAACGGCACACAATTTTCTCCCCAAGAGACAACCAGCCGTGTATGGACTCTGAGCGTAGCAGTGGTGAGGGTGTTGGCCCAATGGAATATACTATTGTGAAAATGAAAGCTGTTGGAAAGCTTCCAGACAAGCTCAAGTAAGTACTTTGTCTCCCTCTGTCTTTGTTGAATTTTAACAAATTGCAAAGCCTCACCCATTTCTTACTGGAAAATTTCTGTTGATAGGAAGGTGGGAAACAAACCTGTGTACCTTGTGGCTGCCACACTTCGCCCAGAAACAATGTATGGCCAGACAAACTGCTGGGTGCGTCCGGATATGAGGTACATTGCTTTCCAAACCAGCCTCCCTGATGGTGATATTTTTGTTTGCACGGAACGTGCTGCCCGCAACATGTCCTACCAAGGGTTTACAGCTACAGAAGGGAAATTTGATATTGTGGCTGAGCTTGTTGGGCAGGTACAGTATTTTTCATTTAATATGTATTATACACAGGTGGATGATACTTGATTTGGAATTTTTATTAATATTTCTTAAATTGGACAGGATATCATGGGACTGGCTCTCAGTGCCCCGCTTACGTCTAACAAAGTCATCTACACCTTGCCAATGCTGACTATCAAGGAGGACAAGGGTACTGGTGTTGTCACCAGTGTACCGTCTGACTCCCCCGATGACTATGCTGCATTCATGGATCTCAAAAAGAAGCAGCCTTTCCGCGAAAAGTATTCCATCACAGATGAGATGGTCCTGCCCTTTGAGCCGGTATGAGTTTTCCAATGTAGTAAGCATACATACTTCCTTCAAACATTGTCTGAAATATTGTTCAAATGTGTTTTCAGATACCAGTTATTGATATACCCGGTCTTGGAAATATGTGTGCTGTGTACCTGTATGACAAGCTGAAAATTCAAAGTCAGAATGACAAAGAGAAACTACTTGAAGCCAAGGAACAGTCTTACATGAAAGGATTTTATGAGGGGGTATGCTTGATACCTGCAATATTTCTAATTTAATTTCAGTCTAGGGGACTTTTAACTTTCTACCTGTAACTAACTATCCTTCTTTGAATGTCAGGTAATGTGTGTTGGGCCCTTCAAAGGCAAGAAAGTGCAAGATGTGAAGAAACTTGTGCAAAAGCTTCTAATTGATAACAAAGAAGGAGCTGTTTATCATGAACCGGAGAAGACCATCATTTCAAGGTACAATCTCAATATTCTCTAGTCAACCATGTACACCAAATGACAAGCCGGTCATTTTTAATTTGCATTATCGTTATTAGGTCAGGAGATGAGTGTGTTGTGGCCCTCTGCAACCAATGGTACCTCGACTACGGAAATGAGGAATGGAAAAACCAGGCAAGGAAGTGTTTAGATGATATGAACACTTACCACGAAGAGGTGAGGAGAAACTTCCATGCCACTCTGAATTGGTTGCATGAGTATGCCTGCTCAAGAACTTATGGGTTGGGTAAGTTGCCATTTCTTTTGACTCTAAGGGAATAATTTTTAAAAAATTGTAATAGAAAACCATTTTACATTTATTTATTTTTTAAAATCTGCATTTATTTAATCTCAGGCACCAACCTTCCTTGGGATGAGCAGTGGTTGATTGAATCACTATCAGATTCCACCATTTATATGGCCTTCTACACTGTAGCCCATTTCTTGCAAGAGGGAACATTCCGTGGAGAGAATGGAAACAAAATGGGAATCAAGTATGTTTCAATTCTTCTACTGACAGGCCATTGTGAATACCCTAGTAATTTATTCATTCATTCTACATCAATTTTCAGGCCTGAGCAAATGACCCCAGAAGTCTGGGATTATATATTTTTCAAGGATACTGCATACCCCAAGGCATGTGGAATAGCAAAGCAACATTTGGATCTAATGCGTCGTGAGTTTGAGTACTGGTACCCTGTGGATTTGCGTGTTTCTGGGAAAGATCTTATCCAAAACCATCTCAGCTTTTACTTATACAACCATTGTGCCATTTGGCCTAAAGATGAAACTAAATGGCCCAAGGGCATCAGAGCTAATGGTCATCTCTTGCTGAATTCTGCAAAGGTATATTGTTGCTGCCTATGTTTACAGTATGGTATGTTAGTGATGTTTATTGACCTAACTGTTGCCATCTTTCCCATATATTTCTTTAGATGTCCAAGTCAGAAGGCAATTTCTTGACTGTATCCGATGCTGTCAGTAAATTCAGTGCTGATGGCATGAGACTTTGCTTGGCAGATGCTGGAGATTCTGTTGAAGACGCTAATTTTGTGGAAAGCATGGCAGATGCTGGCATTTTAAGACTGTACACTTTCATTGAGTGGGTGAAAGAAGTTCTAGCTTCAAAAGACACTTTCCGAAGTGGGCCTGACAACACTTTCAATGACAATGTTTTTAAAAGGTTGGTGATTTTTATCTTTTCATTAAATTAAGTTTTTTCTAAAGCTTCAATATAAAATATCTTTTACTATTTTTTCAGTGAAATGAACCTCAAGATTCGAGAGTCAGAAGAGAACTATGATAAAATGCTTTTCAAAGAAGCCCTGCGTACTTGCTTCTTCGAGTTGCAGGCAGTTCGTGACAAGTACAGAGAGCTTACTGCTTTTGAAGGTGGAATGCATCTAAAACTTGTGCTACAGTTCATTGAAATTCAAGCCTTACTTCTCTCTCCGATCTGTCCTCATGTTTCTGAATATGTTTACCAACTGCTTGGAAAGGTATCTTTTCTTCTTTTAGTGTTACGTCAATGCTCTTTAAATTCTTCGTTTTTTTATGTTTTGCTTTGCTCAGGATCACTGTATTGTGACAGCCAGATGGCCTGCTGGTGGCCCAGTGGATGAGATTCTTGTGAAGTCATCTGCTTATTTGGTGGAAGCTGCTCATTCTTTCCGCATACTTTTGAAGAACTTCATAGCCAATCAGACGAAGAAGGGCAAGGGCAAGGCTGCTCCTCAAACTGGTGCTGCTCCACAGAAACCCACAACTGGTGTCATCTATGTTGCCAAAACATTCCCACCATGGCAAAGCACTGTTCTTACCACTATGAAAACATTGCATCAAGTAAGGAAGCACTAATTTTCATGTCATTCTTATTAGGACATAAATTGATCAGGTTTCCTTTTTAAAAAAATTTCCAGGCAAACAAGGGCCTCCCAGACAACAAGACAATCTCTGTAGAACTGCAAAGCAAACCAGAGCTCAAGAAATACATGAAACGTGTCATGCCATTTGTTCAAGCCACCCGAGAAAAGGTGGAGACAATTGGCTTGAAAGCTCTAAACCTCACTCTGGACTTTAATGAAAATGAACTACTGCTAAACAGTGTAAATTACCTCTCTGCTACTTTGGATGTAAGTTGCAGACAATTCGGTGGCTTTTACTCTTAAACAATGCAATCATTGTTTACTGCATTTCTAAAATTGTGTTTTGGTTTCCAGTTGGATGAGATTGTTGTCAAACCGTCTGACTGTGATGATGCTCCCGAAAATGTTCGAGAGGAGTGTTGTCCTGGTGTACCTTACATGACGTTTGGTAACAAACCTGGTGTAAACTTGACTTTTGTCAACCCAACCCCTCATAACAGCCTCTTCACCCACACTGTTCCTGTCCATGATAAGGATACGACAGAAAAGGTGGTTTCACGACTCATTAAGATGGACAAGGGTATCAAAAGTATGTATTATTTGTTTAAAGTAAAGCTTTTATTTTTCTTTGGCACTTTGGTAATTTTATCTTTTTGCTCCTTAGGTACGCAAGCAGTTGAGCTGTGGCGATACGTTGATCCAGCTATGGGACCCCGAACGATCCCAAATTTAAATAGTCCCCTGGCGGGCAAGGAGCAAGTTCCCTCTAGTGCTATCTTCAACGTTGATCTAAGTGCAGGCACTGTAGAAGTCTCCATCAATGGTAAATCCATTGCAGTTGGATCTCAGATTGTTTACATAGTTAAATAATGAATTATCAATAACTTATTAAGGGATTGGAATTATTTAATGTTTTGTACAAACTGTCTCCCAGTAAAATTGAGTATTTATTTTTACCTTAAATTATTGCATCCACAAGTGAGCTATTTTTAGCATGAACTGTTCTTGTACCCTTTAAGAAAGAAAAAAAACCATGTATTAAATTTTTCTGAATCAAATTAAAGACCAAATTGACAGCCATGACCGATTGTGTTGAGCCACTCCATTTATTTCTGTTCCACACACATTTCTGCATTCACTTGAACAATTGAAAGAACGTCACAGAGGAGTGGATTGACGGCCGTTCGGACTGTAGCGCCTGTGAGGTAGGCCGCCTTTCAGTCCCGCAACACACCGGTGTGCAGACGGTGGCCCATCTCGCCCCTGCCAAGACGACAGGGGCTGGGTAGGCCACCGTCTCCACACCGGTGTGTTGCGGGACTGAAAGGCGGCCTACCTCACAGGCGCTACAGGCCTCTTGAGTTCGGTGGGCTCCCGATCCCAACAAGCGGGTGCCTGGCAGCACGGGCGCCACAACTCTCGCAGTCTTGTGTGAGGGACGTCCCCACTGCTTTCCCTCCTCCAAGCAAAGCTAGGCAAGCCCCCCAGCAGACTTGCTCCGAGAATCGCCTCTGTCTCTCTCGCACCCGTACGGGTTGCCCATGAGTGCGAGAGGGACAGCGGCAAAAGCAGTGCACCAGCCGACTGGGCCGCTGCACCCTCCGGGTCCTGCTCCTGCGGGGCCATAAATGAGCTGTTCAAGGTGCTATTTTCGGAATCGTTCGGCCTGGCCCGGGAATGCCATGCTGGGAAGGCAGTACCAACTTTCCCGGCTCGTACAGGACAAAGGGAAAACGCCAACACCGCGGCGGGTTGCGGCTTCTAGCGAATCCAGGCGTCGCAGACTTTGCTTGGACCATTGTCTGCAGTTGCAGTGTCGACTCCGGCAGCTGCAGCGCAAACAGTCACGCTGCCGCATTCCAAAGAGACCCCCCTCCCCTCGCCCCTCCCCCTTCCCGAATGCAACAAGCAGAAGCAGCCGACGCGACCGCGACGCCGCGAAGCCCCACAAGTCCGCCCCTGGACAGGGATTCAAATGAAGCCCTCAACATTTGCATTTTAGGACACTGGGAGGATGCCGGTGCACTGCTGAAGTGGTTTCCGCTGTTCTGTTCGACTGATCTCTGAAACTCGTCCCCTCGCTGACAAGACTGGGAAAGATCTCAGGTAAAAAGCAGACGCCTCCTCGGAGCTGCCGGTGGGGTAAATGACCCATCAGCTCGCAGAGGTCTTGCGTTGGTCAGGGGGCAGGGAATTCAACGGGGCAGTCTCGGTTTGGACCGGGTAAATTCATCACTGTGCGCCTGTGGTCCTTATGGAGCTGAGCCCTCGGGTTTGTCGTTCTGCATCCTCAAGTTCAAGTCACATAACCTTAACGCGCTTAGCGTTACTTGCTTGCGACCTGCAGCGCTGCCTGTGCTCTAAGGCTGTCAGTTCATCTAAATCCTAGGATTATCTGTCAGCAATCAAGGTCAACTAAAACTTGCCATTCACGGTCTCATATGAGATTGCATGTGAACCAATTTTCCACAGGATAAAGAACGTGCATTTCAGTTCAAACCTACCATTTTATACGCAATATCTTTCTTACGGCAAATTAATTTTCTTCTTACAGACATGGCGAAGGATTTTGGCCTGTTTGCAGCATTGCGCATTCTGTCGGTATTCCTTGTCCAAACAGCTTATGTACCTGATGAATACTGGCAAAGTTTAGAAGTAGCGCATTATTTGTCATTTGGGTATGTCTCGATTTTGTCACCGTTAATTGGCTTTGTCCTCCGCACAGTGTTCTGTTTTAATTTGAGTTTCTTACTCTTAACAGTTATGGTTACTTAACCTGGGAATGGCAAGAAGGCATTCGTAGTTACCTGTATCCTCTTGTGTTCACTGGGCTCTATAAGTTCCTGTCTCTCTTGGGCTTGGATAACGTCAGCTTTCTGGTAAGTAAAACTATTCTTATAGTACTCAGTTATTTTTTGTGCATGCTTTTAATTTGTTTATTTTGTAACTTCCAGGTGTTGGGTCCTCGGATCTTGCAAGCTTTGCTGACCGCATATGCCGATGTTGCTATTCTCTCTTGGATACGTAATCCTACGTATGGTCGCTCACCATGGGCCAAAATTACCATTGTGACGTCATGGTATCTGTTTTATGTTGGCTCTCGCACTCTGTACAACACTGTGGAAGCCGATCTCATCGCCATTGCTCTTTCTCAGTACCCTTGGCCACCATCAAAAAGCTCAGGTTATTCTTTTGTATAAAATTTAGGACTCTTTAGTGACCATGTCATGTAAAAATAACCAAGTTTTGTAATCATAGGAAGCTGCAAATATTTGATTTGGGGAGCCTTAGCCTGCACAATCAGGCCAACAGCTGCTGTTAACTTGTTGCCACTATTCATCTACCAAATAGCTACAAGCTATGAGAAACTAAGGATCATTCTCAAGAGTATAATAATTGGGTGAGATCAATATGAACTCCTTTAACAAGTTGTTGCTTGTGGTCAGTGTTGGAGTTTAATGTTTCTCATGAAAAATATTGTGGTTGCAGGTGTTTTGCTTCTGCCTTGGTATTTTCTGCTGACTCTTACATCTCCCAGAGCTCAACGTTCAGCCCAATCAACTTCCTGAAAGCAAATATTCTTCGGAATGTTGCTAGCTTTTATGGTAAACACCCAGGATTCTGGTATTTTACCTCAGGACTTCCCATGCTACTCGGTGCCCAGCTTTTGCCATTTTTGTATGAGGTGTACAAAATTTTACGTGGGCCACATCGCCAGACACATGACATCCTCATGATGTGTGTCTTTTGGCCAACAATTATTTTATACAGGTAACATGCTGGATGGAATGTACTTTGACTTTGTGATTTCTGTAGCAGTGCTCTTCATTGATTTACACTTTTTTTTTCAGCTTACAGCCCCACAAGGAAACTCGCTTCATTCTTCCACTCCTGCCCATTGCTCTTTTCTGGTCTGCTGGTGGTCTCAGTCGCTTTGAGAAGAGTGCTCTAAGAGAGTAAGTTAATTAATATCTGAGCGATTTAATGAGAGTATGCTTTGCATTGTTTGTAATTGTTTTTTTTTTTATTGTCAGGAAGTGGGGTAGAGTTCAGATAGTTGTGGACAAGCTTTCCCGATTCCTACCATGGTTGCTGCTACTCTCTGCAGTTGTCCCCTCTTTGTACTTTGGCTTGATTCACCAAAGAGGTACTGTGGACGTTATGCCCTGGCTGGCAAACCGAGCTAAATCTTGTCCTCAGCAGACAAGGATACTTTTTCTCATGCCTTGCCACTCAACCCCATTATACAGGTAAAAAAGAAAACCCTCCAAGTTTTATGTCTATTTATCTTAGAAATCTCTGTGCACATTCTTATCATTTTAAACGTTGAAATTTTTCAGTCACTTGCACATCAATGTTCCTACTCGCTTCTTAACGTGTGTACCTGATCTGCAAAGTGTACCTGACCCAGGGTATTTGGATGAAGCAGATTTGTTTTATGCTGACCATGTTTCTTGGCTTGCCAAAAATTTCCCTGAAGTAAGTCATCTGGTGTTAACATCGTCTTACCTGTAAGGTGGTGCTACAGATTCATTATTCGTCTTTTCTCTTTGTTCCAGTCTAAACCCGAGTTACTGTTTTCCCACATTGTTCATTTTGACTCGTTACAATCAAAACTGGACCCATTCCTGCGATGGGGTGGGTACTCTGAGGTGGCTTCATTTTTCCACACCCATTTCCCGACTGAACGAGTAGGTGGGCGTGTTGTTGTGCACGAACGTGCATCCATCATGTCAAAATGTGTGGAAGCATAAGTGTAAGTTCATTGTTTAAGACTCAAAGTCTTCTTTTAGGATTACAAATTTAAAAATAAAATCATCACTATAAGTTTACTTAAGGGACCAAATCATGATTTTTATGACAATCATGTGGAAAGTTCAAATAGAACCTAAGATTTGTTTGTATTATTGTGTTTTCTTTTGCTACTAATGACAAGATACACTTAAAGTGTTTTCTAATTGTTGATGCAATGTTTAATCAAAGTTGTATTTTATTTATATTGAATGAACTAATGAAGGGTAAATAAATATCCATTCTGTTTTATTTGTGTTATTAGAATTTCTTTGTTAGATAGGAGGCAGATCGAGATTTTTTAAATTTATCCTAAAATGGTGTTGAAGAACCACCTTTGTATGTTACAATTATCTCTTGGAATTTTTCTCTACTTGTTTTAGAAAATATACACATGGGAAAAAACAAATTCACAAACTGCCCTTTGTAATGGGCATTCATTAAGATACGAGTTCAAACCAACAATGACACTCAAGAGCACTCACAACGTGTAAACACAAGAGTTATCCTACAATAAAGATCAATCATATCTTTACAGTGACCGTATGGCAGTACATACATAAATGGTCGCACATATTCACAGCTGGAACAGAAAAGTCTGTCCAAATATTACACTTTTTTTGTAGTAAGTTTTTTTTTTTAAGTTTTTTGTTTTGAGAACGCAGCGTCTTGCTTTTTTTTTTGTGAGACAGCGGCGTCTCGGCTGCGCTGTGCGCGCTGCGCTGTGCGCGCTGCGCCGGGTTCAAAGCGTTCACAGCCAGCCGAAGGCAGTCCACGTCCACGGCATGGCCTGCAGCACCAGGGGCACCACCACGACGTAGTGCAGGGAGTGCGGGGTGTGCGTCGACGCCCCCGCCGTCTGGTTGCAGCAGCTCGTCAGCGACTCGACCACCTGCTCGGCCAGAGGGAGAGACACGGGGTCAGGCCAAAGGTTCCCTCGACGCACCAGTGGGCCAGAAGACCAGTGGGGGGCGGCCAAAACTCTAGGCGCGTTTTGAGCTCCAGAGACGCTAAATGGGACTCGAACCGAACGTGTGACCCCACTAATGGATTGCTCTCCGAACGAGGAATCCATTGGTGGGGTCACACGTTAGGTTCGAGTCCTGTTCAGCGACTCTAGAGCTTAAAACGCGCCTGGAGTTTTGGCCACCTCCACCGAGCTTTTAACTCTATGGAAACACAAGTGGCGAAGTACAAACTGAAAAAGCGCGCACCTTGGGGTAGTAGTTGTTCCAGAACGCGAAGCTCCTGTAGTCGAAGTTGGACGTGTCCGTCATGGAGAAGTTCCTGTCCAGCACCATGACGCCGGGGTTGGCCTCCGTGAAGGGTTCCCACTTGACGGCGCCGCCCTGGATCTGCTGCGTCGGGTTGCGCGTCTTGGCGAAGCTCGCCCACAGCGCCATCACGATGTCGGCGATCTTCTTGTCCTGGGAGTTCCACACGACCTGCGTCGGCAGCGACGTCCAGTAGGGCATGCCCCACACGAAGGGCAGCTCGTACTGGTGCGGCACGTTGACCCAGTCCGGCACCGCGTCGCCGACGCCCAGCGTCTTGAGGCGGTAGTCGAAGCGGTACATCCAGGTGTGCGCCACTTTGGACGACGCCGAGGCCTGTCACACCGGGGCAAGGTGAACGTCAAACTCACTCCTCGCTCTGTCTCTCTCGCACTCGGCTGCGCCGTCGGCACTCACCTGCAGGAAGGCCGGCGAGCCGTACTTCTTGTCCGTGGTGAACTCCATGAACTTCTGGCGCAGCATCACGCCGTCCTCGCTGGGCGGCACGGGGCTGCAGGGGAATGACCGTGTCACAGAATCAGGATCCACCCTGTTTTGAGCTCCAGAGTCGCTAAATGGGACTAGAATGCTAGAACCGAACGTGTGACCCCACCAATGGATTCCTCGTTCGGAGCGCAATCCATTGGTGGGGTCACACGTTCCGTTCGAGTCCCATTTAGCGACTCTGGCGCTCAAAACGCGTCTAGAGTTGCGGCCGCCTCCACCGGTCCTACAGCTTACGTGTAGTAGAAGCTGACGGCGTCCACGAGGGTCTCGCCGTTGATGGGGCACGTCTCGTTGTTCTCCGTCTCGGGCACCGGCACGTCCGGGATGGTGGCGTCCACCAGCAGCGTCTCGAACTTGGACGGCGACAGCCCCGCCTCCAGCTCCTTGCGCATCAGCAGCGCGTCCTCGTTGTCCGTGTAGCCGATCAGCAGCGGCACTCCCTGCGACACGGCGAGCCTCGTCACACAGTGGACTTGCCAGAAGACCGGCGAAGGCGGCCAAAACTCTAGACGCGTTTTGGCCGCCTCCGCCGGCTGCCGAGCGCCTGTGAATCTAAGGGTAGGCAACCCGGGCGACAGCCGAGTCCGGCGGGCTGGCCTACCCGCAGCTTCACAGGCGCTCACTGGTGCGTGGTGGGAGTGTCTGGACACTCACCCTCTTGGACATCTCCAGCAGGTTCTTGGGCGAGTCGGAGAGGAAGGGCGGCGTGGTGTTGGCGTACTTGCCGTCCTCCACGGGGCCGTAGGTGCCGTACTTGATGGCCCACTCGACGAGCACGCCGACGGGCTGCACGTTGCGCATGCACGTCATGACGTCCGCCGTGGAGGGCAGGCAGTCGAAGCGCGCCGCCAGCTTGCGGATGGCCTCCACCTGGCTGCGGTCCGTGAGCACGCCGCCCGAGCTGGCGCCCGGCGGCGTGGTGGCGCTGCCGCTCATGGCGATGGCCGCCTGAAAGTTGGTGGACTGCGAGGACACCACGTGCAGCCCCACGCTCACCTGCAAGGCCAACACGGCATTCACTAAGTCGGACTCGAATCGAACGAGTGGCCCCACCAATGGACTCCTCGTTCGAAGAACAGTCCTTTGGTGGGGTCACACGTTCGGTTCGAGTCCTGTTTAGCGACTCTGGAGCTCAAAACGCGTCCGGGATTTTGGCCGCCTCCACCGGTCTTCTGGCCCTGCGGGCCCTGCGTACCGCGCCGGCGCCGTGGCCGAAGAGGGTGATGTTCTTGGGGTTGCCGCCGAACGCCGCGATCTTGTCCTTGACCCAGTCTATGGCGGCCACCTGGTCCCACAGCCCCCAGTTGCCGGGCAGGTTGCCGTCCAGGGTCGTGAAGAAGCCGAGCACGTTGAGGCGGTACGCCGTCGTGACGATCAGGACCTTCTGGCGGATGGCCAGCACCGAGCCGTCCCACAGGCTGGCCGCGCCCGTCATGAAGTCCCCCGAGTGCAGCCACAGCATCACGGACCAGCCGTCCGCCGGGGGGTTGCCTGCAGACAGAGAGAGGCAGGGGTTAGGTTAGGTTAGGGTAGTGTTAGGTTAGGTTAGGGTAGTGTTAGGTTAGGGTAGTGTCAGGTTAGTGTTAAGTTAGGTACGCAAAAATTGGTGTAAACCCGATTGATCCACTATTAAAGTGTCTGCGAAGTACGAAGCTGGCGTCCTTTTTTCCGTTTTTCGCCTTGAAAACCCAGCCACACTCACCCATAACGAGCTATTAACCACCGAGGTGGGAATCCTGGCCCACGACGCGGAAAAACCTTTGCCTACAGTCTTGCCATAGTTACGGCTGTGTTTTTCCGTGGGGCTTAATGGCGCAACCGTTGCAGTCGGACTAACCCCCTCCCCCTCCCTTTTTTTACCACTCCCCCTTTCCCCATAGCTCTATGGCCTCCTTACAGTCTGCGAGGGAAGGGACCCTAAGGCAAAGTAAGGCATGGTCACATCCAGGCACGCAACCTCCCCCCTCCCCCTCCCACCCGCTCGCTCTACCTTTCATACCATCTACAACGTAAATCTTCGCTCGACCGATTCCGATTCGCTCACTGTCGGAGGGTTGAGTCCTCCTTCCGATGGAGGCACACCGCCTCGGGAATAACATCAACAACGCGACTATCACTATCAACAGTTGCGTCTGCAGTTGTAAACGGCATCGAGTGAAATTCTCGTTGACGAAAGCACCGCCACACTGGAAGTCGCCCCTGGGCCGTCGAGAGCGAGGCGGTATGGCGGGTTGTAAATGGCCCGACTCGGCGGTGTTGGCCAACATGATTGCAGACTGATTCCGAGAGTCGTCGCTCTGTCTCTCTCGCACCCGGACGGCGCGCCCCGTGAGAGCGAGAGAGACAGAGCGATGACTCTCGGCATCAGCCTGCAGCTCGACACGGCCCGGCCCGCGGCCCGGCCGCCGACTGGAGGGCAGGCTAATGGTATATGAATGGCCCGCCACCCCTCTGACTTGGAACAGTCGCTCTGTCTCTCTCGCACTCGCGGGGCGTGCCGCGTGGGTGCGAGAGAGAACGACCGACGTGGCGCCCGCCACCCTTGAAAGGCGGCCGCGCCGCAACAGCTCTCTTTGGCCTTTAGAGCACGCCGCCACCGCGCCAGGGCACAGTGGGCCAGAAGACCGGTGGAGGCGGTCGGAATCCCGGACGCGTGTTGAGCTCCAGAGTCGCTAAATAGTACTCAAACCGAACGTGTGACCCCACCAATGGATTGCTCTCCGAACGAGGAATCCATTGGTGGGGTCACACGCTTGGTTCGATGCCTGCTTAGCGACTCTGGAGCTCAAAATGCGCCCAGAATTTTGTCCGCCGCCACCGGTTTTCTGGCACACTGTGCCAGACTTATTCCGAGAGTCGTTTTCGTCGCTCCGTCTCTCTCGCACCTGTGCGAGGCGCCCAGTGAGTGCGAGAGGGACAGACCACACTGCTGTAAAACGTGTTCTGAGCACACGTGGGTCCGTTTAAAAATGGACGAAAGCTGAAACTGTTTGCACCTTATGCCGTAAAGTTTTTACACAGCAGTGTGGTGGGCGATACCTCGCCATACGTCGCAGACGACTAAATCTTCAAAACGAAACGAAACGAAACAGACCCCGCGCGGGTGGAGATTACGTCTGCTAGAATGTAATGCCTTTGTACGGCTGGCGCGTCCTTGCCGTACCCCCCCCCCTCCCCCTTTTTCCGCGTCTTGCCGTGCGTAGGCGGGCCCGCCCGGCCTGCCTGGCCTACCCTTGCAAGGCCCCGGCCTGGCCCCGGCCTCGCGTGACCTGACCGAGGAGCAGGGGCGGATTGAGCAGATAAGGAAAAGGGGTGGGGGAGGGAGGGGGAGGGTCGGGGGCATGGTCATGCGTTCGAGATGACCGCCCTTGCCGACTTCCGGTGCCCGCCGCCTCATTCCTCTCTGTCTCTCTCGCACTCAAGGGGCGCACCGCAGGGGCACGGGAGAGACAGAGCGACCCTTGGAATCAGTCTGCTGGTGGCTGGCGCACGAGAGGACCTTGGGAGCCCTGTCTGGGTCTGGGGCGAGGATCGTCTGTCTCCGTCGCACTCCTGGGGCGCCCCGCACGAGTGCGAGAGAGACAGAGCACACATGCAAACACACAAGTTAGCGGTGTGAGTTACGGGCGAGTATAGCAAACGTATCGAATTCCCTCCCTGCCTTGCCTTGCCTTTCCTTTCGTTTGCCCCCGAAATGCCGAAGAGGAAGACGGCCGAAATAGACTCGGCTTCTGAGCTTCTGACAGCTCCGGAGCGCCGGGTCTCGGCCGTCTCGGCAGGGGTAAGGTCAAACAACAACAACGGCAACAAAAACAAGGGCAACACGAGCGAAAACAACAAGAAAGAGGGTTATCTCGCGTACCGCTGAATAAAGAACCCCCTCATTAACCCCTTCCTGCGCTCTGCAGACTGAATCCGAGGCATCGCTGTCTCTGTCGCACACATGGGGCGGTCCGTGCGGGTGCGAGAGAGACAGAGCGCCGAAACGATCCTCTCGCGGGCGTCTCTCTTTTCTCTCGCGCGGCGCCGCGCGGCGTCTGGAAAATAAACTGCTTCCTTTTCCCACATCGATTTTCGACTTTCGGGTGCAGGGCCGTGATGAGTGGGACCGGCGCACGACCGAGCCGAGCGATGGACTGGTCAGTCGGGTAGAGGCCGACACTGTGCTGCTACCGAAACGAGTGGAATTGTCATCGAGGTATCAGAAGTGGAGCGAATCCTCGTTCGTCCTGAGTATCTCATCAGGGGAGGAGCTCTCATGAACCTCCCCCGTTCAAAAATTGGCAAATATCGAATGCTTCGTACGGAGAACGCAGGTCGACGACGACAAGACAGACGTGGTGAAGCGGCGCCGTAACCGGCAAGCGCGAGCGCCGGGCGGGCAGCGACCCGCAGCGCCATCTAGCCGCAGTCCGCCCAAGCCGGCCCAAGCCTGCCGCCAAAATGCCCCGCCCGCGGGGCACTCTCTCTCACTCCTCTTCGCAACGCCTTAACGAGTGCGAGAGAGACGGCAGCGGTCTGGCGGGCGAAAGTTTTGCCGCATGGCGTGCGCAGAAACACGAGCACAAGGCGGCGTCGCAACAAGTCGCGAAAACAGAAAGAAAACGAACGAAAGCGGAAAATGGTTTCTGGGAATCGGGCGAGCCGCCTCCGCCTCGCGCAGTGTGCTGTCAAATTGGGACCAGTTTCGAACGTCTGCCGCTACACTATTTTTTGTTGGACAGTCCTGGGGACACACTCTGACGTGGGTGGTGAGGCGCATTACTGCCTTTCCGGCTGTCGCGGGTTAGTCTGACCCTCAGACTGCAATTTCCCCTGCACTGTGAGCTGGGCGTAGCCGGGTGTAGCCGGGTGTAGCCCCCTGACGTCAAGGCCAGCCCCATCGGCACCCCTTTGCATTTCACTGCACAGCACCGCAGCCGGCCGGTCAGGCCCGCCAGGCCGCACTGGCATTGAAATTATCCTGTCTTGCTGCCTGCAGGCATGCCCGCTCGGTCTGGGGCTTGCGGCCCACAGTGGGCCAGAAGACCGGTGGAGCCGGTCAAAACTCTAGACGCGTTTTGAGCTCCAGAGTCGCTAAATGGAGCTTGTAGCGAACGTGTGACCCCACCAATGGATTGCTTTCTGAACGAGGAACCCATTGGAGGGATCACACGTTCGGTTCGAGTCCCATTTAGCTACTCTGGAGCTCAAAACGCGTCTAGAGTTTTGGCCGCCTTCACCGGTCTTCCGCGAGTGTTGAAAGGGATGCTTGCCCGCCACATCTATGCATCGCTGTCGAGAGGTTGCCCAGTAGGCAGGCTGAGGTAGGCCCCTGATTGTTCAGGCGAGAGAATGGGTTCTAGGTTCCAAGGGCCAGCAAGGTTTACGAGCTCGCTTCCTGAAACCCACCAAAGCGCGCCAAAGTAATCTCCTCTCTGCTGCGCTTCCACGCTTCGTGCAGCCTGGCGCCATAAACTCACGCTGCACGCGCGAGCTCCAAAACTGCGAGCAGTTTGTCTGCTTTCCACTTTCTTTGTGTTTCGCCTGCAGAGTCCCCAGCACTTTGCTTTACGCCACTAGTTTAGAGAAATGTTCCAAGTCTGGCGCCTTTTAAATCCCCGAGTCTCATCGCCACTCCGTCGTCCCGCCGGGTCACGGCTCCCGCGGCCCTTTGCAATTCTAATCGGGCCACCGTAATAAAATAAAACGCAAAGGCGGCTCTCCGGAGGGAGAGGGAGAGAGGGGGGTAGTCCGCGGACCGCATGGTTCAAGGCTGAGGCTGCTAGGGCTGCTTAGCGCAGCGTCGCCGCGCGGAGCCTCAAAAGGCGGGAAAGAAAAAAATCGATTTAATTTATGCAAGCGAGAAGTAGCGGCCAGCGACACGCAGGGAAGGTGGGGGGGGGGGGGCAGGTGGTTAGGTCAAAACTTGGTCGGAAAGGGGCTGGAATGTTTTCGCCAGGAACGGCGTCGGGCCACGCAACGTGCCAGGGACAGGGGGAAGGGGTGTACTACCCCCACAGGTACCACGTCACCCCCAAAATAAAGTGTGTCTCCGTCGGGCCGGCGAAGGTCAGCGGCGCACTGATCTAGGGTCACTCGGTTCGGGTGATGTAGGGACAGGGCGAGTAAAAACGCGGCACACTCAATGGGCTCCTGGCCCTTATTTTTTTTTTTTCGAGAAACTGAAATTAAATTTTACTTCAGGGTCCTTACAATAACCTTTTGGGTGAGACTTACAGATCGGCTGGAGTAACCGCCTCCCACCTCGGTCAGAGACCTTAACGCGCCTCGCGCCTTGCAAAACTTGACCGTGCGGGACTCCAACTTTTTTGACCCTTTTTTTAAGAAGTGTTAAACCACTCACCGTCCGGCGTGAAGATGTTGAGCGTGAGGCAGTCCTCACTGGTCTGCAGGTCGTTGTCCAGCAGGAAGTTGGTGAGGATGCGGTCCTGCTCTTGCAGTGTGGCCACTATCTGCGGGCAGGCGGGGCCGAACGCCGAGGCGTTGCGGGGCGTGGACCAGGACGGCAGCGGGTTCGTCTGCAACGTCACAGTGTGGCCACAACGCGATGGACAAACGTCGGAAAGGTTGCCAGCCTGCCTACCTGGCAACATCTCGAGCGCAACGCCCGGACGTTGCCTAGTAGGCAGGCTGAGGTTGGCAACCCTTTCGACACTGAGTGCGGCGCGGGATCTTCCGCGTGTTTATGTGGCAGCGCACATAATGGGCCAGAAGACCGGTGGAGGCGGACAAAACTCCAGACGCGTTTTGAGCTCCAGAGTCGATAAATAGGCCTCGAACCGAACGTGTGACCTCACCAATGGATTGCTCTCCGAACGAGGAATCCATTGGCGGGGTCACACGCTTGGTTCGAGTCCTGCTTAGCGACTCTGGAGCTCAAAACGCGTCTCTAGTTTTGTCCGCCTCCACCGGCCCTCTGGCAAATCCACTGTGCGGCGTGGACTTACCACGGGCGCGGCGAAGCGCAGGATGCCGACGGGCGGCTGCGCGAAGGGGATGTTGAGGTAGAGCGTGGACTTCTGCGTGCGGGTGACGGACACCTCCCGCCCGACCACTACGCCCTGCCCGGGGATCTCCACCGTGGGCGGCTCACGAGGGTTGCGCGCCGCCCAGCCGGGGGCGACCGCCAGCCACACCGCCGCCACCACAGCGAGCAACAGCCGGTGCATCCTGGCGACAGGCCGCGCGACCGAGGTCGCCGTCAACAACAACAACAACAACTACTCCAGTGTCCTTTCGGGCGGCGAGCTCGCGGGGGCAAGTTCACAGCCCTCGTCGCGGCGACCTGGTTTAGCTTGACCTACAAGGACCCAAACCCCCCACCCCCACCCGTCCCATTCATCACACTGACCCAACGAGCTTGTTAGTGGCCGTGCAAAAAAAAAAATAATATACGTAACACGTTCAGAGATAAGGCAGGCATTTGTACACGTCGATGACCGTCATTCCACCGCCTTCCACGTGTCCACAAGGCGCCTCGCTTTGAGCTGTCAAAGTCACGGCGGACGACGACCCAACGAGCGAGCGGCACCGAATTACGTCGGTCCCCTCCGGCTATTAAGCCCACCGTGAAAAACGCGTCGTGAAAAGCGCGCTCCGGGCCTTCTGTTTAGAGTGTCGACAAGGCACAGCAACGTGTCCTAGGGACGCGACCGCAAGGTGCTTATTTATGAATGTCCTTTTTCTAAAGGCTCACCGCCTTAGAACGCGTGTGGCAGAGGGCTCAACAACAAACCCGTGACCTAGTGCCAGACAAAAGAAACTTAAAGGACAACATTTTTCGCCTTCAACTTTGGAGCGTAGGGTTTCACCTTGGTGTCTGAAGGACTTCCCTGCCGCCCAGTGAGAACAGAGGAGTCAAAATGTTCTCTCAACATGACCATACTATGTGGTATTCACACCAAAACGACGTCATTTTTCGCGATTTTGACGCTGAAATGGTAGCATACGATGCTATTTTGACGTCTGAACGATACCATTCGATGCTACTTTGGCGCCAAAATGGTATCATTTGTTTCTAAATTTGAGCTGACTTGGACTTGACCGACTGTGCGTTGTGCCTTGGCTGTAAGTACCTGCGAGCCGTCACGCCGTCACGCTGCCTCGCGGTGCGGGTACTTGGAGTACTCGTTGTCGCTGCCGACGCTGCCGCGCTGCGCGTGCGAGGCGCGCATATCTCCCCGGCCGGACGCTGCAGCGCGCTGGCCGGACGAGCACTGGACGGGGTGCGGCCACTCCACTCGCCTCCGCTCGCCACCACTCGACCACCGCCACTCCGGAGTCCGGACTGACTAGCCGGACTACTAGCCGGACTCCGGGCACTCCGGGGCAGCCTGGGGGCAGCGCAGCGACGCCGGCCACTGCGTGCGCCTAGAGCCCTGCACTGCCGGGGCCGGGGGGGCATCGGGGTGGCGGCGGCAGCGGTGACGGCGAAGGCCACCTTGAGGGCGGCCGCCGCCGGCCGCGATGTAGACCGATCCCGAGAGTCGTTCTCGTCGCTGGGTCCCTCTCGCACCCGCACGGAACGCGCCGTGAGTGCGAGTGAGAGGGACAGCGGCGGCGGGCAGGCGGAGGGGCGGCGGCGCCGGCCACACCGAGGCCCCCGACAACCCCTCCCCCTCGGCGGTCTCGCGGAGCCCGCAGTGTGCACGTTTACCTCACCTCTCCAGTCCGGCCCGGCCCGGCCACTTGAGTCCAGACGTTGGCGCGGCACGCCTTGCGAGCCACCCCAGCCAGCACCCCCAGCACACACAAAGCCCCGCAAAGCCCCCTCCCCCTCCATTCCTCCACCACCGCGCGCGCCCCTCCACCACCACCGACTACCCCTCACTATTTTTAACGTTGCAGTCGTATAAACTGAATAGCACTGCATTCCTAATGATTTTAATTTGGTGTGGAACTTGGTAGAACGAGGTCGATGTAAAAATAAAACGTCTGGAAAATGGGAAATAGAAAAATGGACGGAGCGACAGACGGACAGGAAGCGCAGGCAGCCAGCGCACAGTGGGCCAGAAGACCGGTGGAGGCGGCCAAAACTCTAGACGCGTTTTGAGCTCCAGAGTCGCTAAATGGGACTCGAACCGACCGTGTGACCCCACCAATGGATTCCTCGTTCGGAGAGCAATCCATTGGTGGGGTCACGCGTTCGGTTCGAGTCCCATTTAGCGACTCTGGAGCTCGACGCGTCTAGAGTTTTGGCCGCCTCCACCGGTCTTCTGGCCCACTGTGCAGCGAGGCGGGCAAACATCGGCGTGGGCGTCCGTCCGTCCAAGTCGCTCTGTCTCTCTCGCACTGCTGGGCGCCTCGACTCCAGCCGGCTAGCGCTCTCTCACTCCCTCCGCCTCGCGTCCCTGGGCCGCTCCCATGAGTGCGAGGGCGACAGAGCGACAAGGTTCGGAATCGGCTCGCCGTTATAGAGGGGTTACAGGTGGAAAATCAAGTCTCGGCGCCCTTCGTCGAGGTCCGTCGAGCCTGGCATTGATTGGCCGGGGAGCCCCCCTCCCTCTCTCTCTCGACTTTCGACTTCACTTTCAGCGAGAGCGATTCCTTTGGCTGCCCCTCCCCCGCAACTAACGCTCGCAGCGAGAGCGATTACAGACCTTCGATTTGTCACAACGAAAACAAAACGAATCAGCTAGTCCACTGCCGCACCCAACACGTGATTTTTTTAAATTTTTAACACAATAAAATAAATTATGGTCACGATCAAAGGCGCCGAACACGAATATGCTACAGGGGTTGATTACACCGCGAGGGGTGCGGGGGAGGGGGGGGGAGTTCGCTTACACTCGACGTCGCGTTCAGACACCCCACGACGTCACCTCGCCCAAGTTATGACACGAGTCAGGCGAGCGCGGAGACATTGCAGTGTTACACGTCCAAAAGGAGGACCGCGACTTGGCGGCGTTTCGTCGCTCAGTCTCTCTCGCACCTCTGCGGGACGGCCAACGAGTGCGAGAGAGACAGAGCGACGCGGGCTTGCCTACACTGCAGGTCCGCGTCGATGACAAAAGGCCGGGTGAACCCATCGTCACCACTAAGGGGTTGTGAGAGACAACCGGTCTTACCTTCAGGCCCTGCTGGTCGTCGGCCAGGTGCCTCCCCATGCCGGCATGGACGGCTACTCGCCCTGGCGTCCGGGTCGTCCTGGTGCTGCCGAGGCCAAGGCTCTGGACGGACGTCGCCGACGACGCCCCGTCCCCGTCAGCGAGCACACCCCGCCGCCATGGGGCTGTGGACGTCACGGCGGCCTCGATGGCGTCCTGCACACCCGCGCGCACTGTCTCGCGCTCCACGGCCTGGGGCGGCCTCGACGGCGTCCTCGGAGTCCCGGTGACGTCGCGGCGCGGGCGGGAGCACGGACAGTGGCGGGGACTGGCTGGCGCGCTGACGCCTCCACTTCCTGGGCGGCAAGCCGCTTTGCAGTGCAGTGCCTAGGCCGCCTTGGCAGTGCAGCGCCGAGCGGCGATAGCGAGAGACTATAGACCCATTCCGGTTCCGGGCGGGAGGCGCGCCAGCGCCAGCCCTGCGATTCCGGGGGGTCGTCTTGTCGCTCTGTCTCTCTCGCACCCCCAGGAGGCGCCCCGGCGTGCGACAGAGACGGAGCGAAAGCGATCCTCCGGCAGCGCTCGGCGGGGGGCCGTTCCTCCGGGCCTCCGGGAGCGAGAGCATACGACACGAGGCAAACCAACAAACCCCCTCGCCACGCGGCGCGCCGGGCACGCCCCCGCGGCCCCCTGAGGGGTAGGCTGGGCTGCATCGTAAGCCCTCCCCCCCCTCGCGCACCCCGTGCCTCGTGCCCCATCGGCGGCAGGCGCGGGGCGCGCGCGGAGCGACGCAGTTCGCCTCACCTCCACTTTCCGTCTGTCTGTCTGTCTGTCTGTCCGTCTGTTTTCCATCGCCAGTCGCCAGCTTTCCATCCAGCGGTACGATGATACACGATGACGCGGCTTTCAGTCATCTCGAGAGGGAATGTGCGATTCCGACAAGACACAGGATGGAATGAAGAAGAAAGACGCCAATTTCAGTTAGTTCTAACTTTTATTTTGTTTTATTTCGTTTTTGCAATAACGCACATTGTTTAAGCAATGCCCTCAAATTATTTTTAACAATTGCAAACTAATAAGATTGGCAATGCTTAAACTCAACAATCTTCTTCGAACATTCCCACGAACAAACCAACCTTCAACTAATTGACTGCTTAAATCCAATAGAATTACTTTAGTTATACAAGTATTATGGAATCTTATGAAAATTTGGGTAACATCAGAGTCTAAAATTTGGATGCCAAAATCATGTCAATAATAACCACAAAACCGGTCATTGGAGCCAACCTTTAGATTTTAATCAAACACTCAAAAGAATCAGGGTAGTTTAGTATGATCTACAGAAATTTCAAAGGAAGAGTAGGTGAACTATACTGAGTTTCCCACAGATCAATTTAAACCACCCTGTACATAAGTTTATCAAAATAGGCATAAAAAAGGGTAATTTGAAAAAAGGTAATTTCAGTCTGTGATACAGGTAAAATCAGAGTATTTTGGATTCGAATACATACAGTGGATAGGTTTGACTAAGTAGATACAGTCTTTACAAATAATACCTAGAAATGCCTAATTTTGAAGACTGCACTTTCAGGGCATGAAATAGACAATGGCATGGGTTAAATTTGACCACAATTTCATGATAGTTTCACAAAATTGATTAATACAATGTATACTAAAAATGGAGCACAGAAGCGTTAGAGATAAAACACTTTGTTCAAACCAAAAAAATATTGTGGCATAGCACTTAACATTATCACTGGTGATCATGCTCCAGGAAAATTCCAAATAATATCAAATTAAACCTTTCAATATCAACATATAAAATTTTCATTTATCAGTATGATCAACATACCAAATGCGCAACATATCAGTGTGTGAGACAATTGATACATCATTAATTTAATCAGGGATGAAAAGGACACAAAAGGTAAGCAGTGCATAATGTGCACAGGTAGGTTAAGCAAACTTAAAAGAAGCTTATGCACGCATCCTCTACATGAATAGGGGAAATGGTCATTCTTACTAGTTTGTTTAGGAGCTGTTGCATGTTTTTGTCATCCCTGATAAATGATTACTGGACATTATTCATATGTAGAAGTAAACTGGAGTTTCACTTTCACATTTAGAAGGTCAGTAAACCAGAATTATGCAAAGACCCCCTAAGGAAGCATTAACTCATTTTTCCACCAGCTCATAATAACAGTCAGTCAGTCCAGAGGACTACACCATATAAACTATGTAAGTTTCAACCAGGGCAAACATAGATGATAACACAGGCCACATTAAAACTGAAGCTTTGAAAAGTGCCTATCATAACTCTCACACTATGCCTATTGCAGCCAGTGCTTCTGGTAGTAGATTTTCTAATTTATCTCTAGACTCCTTGATGTATGAGGGTGAATATTGACGAACCTTAACTGGTATACACCACAATAATTATTGCAAAGATTTCTAATGCCAGCTTTGCGGTTAAGGCAGCAAGCATTACACATGCTAAAAGAGTTAGCCTAAACCTAAATAAATGAATACTATATTACCACAAAATGTGTGATGTCTTTGGCAGTTATTTGCAATGGTAACCACACAACCTTAAATGTAAATAAAACTGTAGACACATCCTGCATTTAAGTCAGGAATTAAAAAAAGAAACAATAATAGAACAATAACATTAAGTATTAAGATGTACATTTCGGTCTGGGGGGAAAAAATTAACACAGCTTCTTACAGGGGAATTTCACAACTTGATTGGGGAAAAAGTTTCCAAACAACAAACCAGATTAGGATGATTTTGATAAAAGTAACAGTCACAATATGATTACAATGATAAAAAAAATTTGCGAGGTTGGCCACTTTTTTACCCCAAAATAAAAATTATTATCTTGGAAAACATGATATCCCATTTGCAGTATGGCATCATCACATGTCTAATGGCGGAAATAAAGGCTGGCCCACCAGAGAACGCCTAAGACACTGTTACTAAAAATGTCCTCAGCGAGCTCGTCTGCAGTAGGCTAACCTACACAAGCCCTCTGGAGGACCACCCAGAATATAGTGAAAGACAGAATGACAACATAAGGGGAATTTCCACATATCACACAAATTTCAAGCACCTCCACAGTGGACAGTGTTCCTCAGAAAGAGAGAAACTTATCTTGAAAAAGATAAATTAAAAATTTGTCAAAAAAACCAAAACAAAACAGCAGGAGATAATTTGACAGATATAACAACATCAAATGAGTAAAACAAATATAAAACATCTCGCTGTGAATAAAGCTTTCTAAAACACTGACAACTCTAGCCGAATATTACACAGTAATGTGTAAGCCCACATACCAGTAACTAGTTTCTGAAAACATGCAGCATTAACACTAATTGCACTCAACAAGTCATTTACTAACTTCCCTTCACAAAGGTAATACTAATATCGAAAGGTTAAAGAAACTAGTAATTTAAGATTGTTATAAAACTGTACAAAAGAAGTACTACTTTGCTAAAAAGGGAAAATTCACAAAGGAGTAACAAAGATACTGGTAAAGATTGGAGTAAAAAGTTTAGTAAACAAAAGTGTTTTTGAAACCATATCAATTAATTTTGAAGTTAGTAAAAAAAACGGCAGTTCAACTCAGTCTTACATGTTCCCATAGCATTTCTAAAAGAAATGCTATATTGTTCACTGGAAATTGACAAAGTTGCTGTAAATGCAGCAAATAAATTTTAAACATCAGTAACTGTGCTATTCTGTGGTTAGGATGTAGCAACAGAGAGTAATGGCATTCACAAGTTTGGCCACTGTGGAGACTTGTTGAGTGGTGAAAAATGATATGAATTAATCACAAAACATGCACGTAATAACTACATGGACTAAATGAATTCAAATGAAACTAATGGCCATCGTCCGGACACTAGGCATAATACTAAGCTGAATCACCAGCAGTCCCAAGTTACCATCACTCGGGAGTTTGTTTTCTCTCAAAACATTTTATCATACATGAGTGTTGAACAAAATCTATCCTACAATATCACATACTAAACACATATTGCTGTGCTTTATAGACACACTCAACAGAAAAGAGTACATTTTTTCAAGAATGGGCACCAAGCACCAACTAGAAAGAATTGTTTTTCTTTCCAGTTTAAGAATAAGTGACAGCGTCATAACATGATTAATTTAATTGTACTTTTATAATCAATCAGACTATTACTTCAAAAATTTTATAGAAAGCAATAGCAAAAAAAAAAATTGTTTGTTTGGCAATTGTGCTTGAAGCCTTATAAATTTATCTAAATTTTGAAACAATTTGTTAACAATTTGACTTTGCAAAAACAGCAAAGAGTGCAAGTAAGTCTTCCTATAAGAAAAGACCATAAGCAATTAGGGGTACTTATTTCTAAGCATACACCAGATTGGTTAAGCATGCAAATGATATTGAACCACAGCCTTAAAAAAAAGCAGGCAATCTAAAACTGATTTATTAAAACTAAACTAAAACCTGAGTAGCATCTCTATGATGGTCCAGAGATATTTATACAACATAAAACGTGATCCATGAACAGACTACACAGGAAAAGTGAATGGTGTGTTTCTAAGATCTAACATGAACTCAAATGAAGAATGGTACCAGACATACGAGACAACAGCATACTCTTTCTGCTTGTAAAGAACTCATCAGAATTAAAGGCCTAACATAGAACAAACTAAATGCATGACAGCATGGTGATATGTTAGAACAAACACACTTGAATTAAGTTCAAACTAAAGCATTTACAAATGAGATCTCCCTTCATTACTGAACATGATTTGGAGCAAGCAAAGACTACATTAATGAGAGGCAATGCCAGCCAAGACTCAATCATTCTTTGGGACTCACATAACAGTTGGATACATTATGAACAATAATACCAATCACATCATTACTTGTCCACTCCATATTTATGATATTCTCAAAGCACTCAATGAAATAATTTCTATATTAAAGGAGGAAAAGTTCATGGCCTTTCGAAAGGCTTTGAAAGATAAATAAAACAGCAATACTGACTAGTCCACAATTACGTTTGTATCTTTAACTTTTAGTGTTTGAGCCATCCGGAGATGGTAGTTCAGCGTGAGACGCTAATTCCAACACTCGCACCCACCTGAAGCAAAAGGGAAAGTTAGAATGTTTAAAAGCATTGACAATTAAAACATGTAAGGGTGTCAAACTTGCCTCTCTGTATCTTCTCTCGAATTTGTTAGGAAGTAATATGTTTTCTTTTTATGGAACATTTTAAATGTCTTTTCTTTGCCAGGTTCTGGTTCACCTTTGTTGTCTAACACCTGCGCATGAATTAAGATTTAAATTAAATTCAGTCAATCAGAACGAGCTGAAGGTTGAAAGGAGTCTTATTTACCAATGAAACAGTGAAACCAGGTACAGGCGTGGCTGTCATAGCTTGCCTGTCTGTGTGAGATCTGAATGAGTACAGCACAAAGTCTGAGTGCAGGGCAAACCACCGAGGCACCCAGGACTTGGAAGTCTTGAGTTGCATGTATCCACTCAGCACACATGGGGCCTTGGCTGCAACCTGGAAGCAAACGTTAGAGTTTAAATTAATTGCCTTTGGAGGTTCTCAATGCAATTGTTCAAAGATAACGACACTTGCCTCCAAAACACCCTTCCCCCGAGAAAATCCTGCTGCAGAACTTGAGGAAATTTCAGGACTATTAGGAGCGGATCTCTGTGTTAATACCTTGTGACAAGTTTGACAAACTCTACACATTTTGTTATCTTCAAATTGCAGTGGTAATTTATGACCAGAACACTTTCCACAAACAACCTGCAAACAGGTTCCAGATGGTTATTACGTGAAGAAATAAACATTTTATGAAAATGTAATGTAGCATGGTTATTTTGAATGATCAAGTAGTATTAAAGATTGTACTAACCAGTCCACAGGCATGGCAATGGTGCTTTCGTCGCATTACACCAAAACTACTGGCGCAGTCTTTGCAGCGACTGACTGTGTCCATTTGCACCAAAGTTGGAGCTCTTTTGCCCAAGTCAGAGTCTAAGGACCCATACTTTGAGCTCTCCGCACCTTGACCTGCCACACAACCATTGCCATTGCTCGACTCCGGGCTTATCCTAAGTGAGGACTTTCTTTTGTAAAGCTCTTGCACTGCAGTGCAGAGGGCATCAAGCCACGCCAGTTTTTCATCTGATGTCCTGAAAAACGAAGGTAGAAGGGTTAAGGAAAGAAATACTCACAGCAAAAGAGCTGTCATTACAAAATTATGGCACAAAATTTCAAAACAAGATAAACAACAGAATCCACTTACTGGGTGTAAAGTTCAACCTTTTTACTGTAGGCTTGGACATAAAAGGTATTTTCAGTTTCCATGTTGTCTCCCTCTAAAACCTGAAGACTTTCAACATCAAATTTCACTCGAAGGCGATAAGTGGGACCAGAGATGACTCGATTGGAAATGAGACGAGGTGAGCAAAGTAGTAAGACATCACTGAACTGCAACATGAGAAAGCAAAATTAGAAACCTGTTACATAATACTAATCAAGATAATTTACAACAATAACCTAAGACCAAATAACTTAACTTACCAAAAAAAGGTATCGTTCTTGGTGATCCCCACTACGAGCAGATATTTTATGCACTTTTCCTTCTCGCAGGAGCTCACGTGTTGGGCTTACTAGGTCAACCGCGCCTGATATATTCTCTTGAATCTCCAAAAGTTGTTGGAACTGAGATATTTTCTTCATGGCTTCATTTGCATGGTTTGCTGCAGATGAAACAAGATGAAGAGCCCCTGCAAGAAATGATAACAGAAAATGATATGACGTGATGTCTTTACAGGAAATTTCAAGTCAGCATTTAATCTTATACCCACTTTCTGTGTCGGTCCTGTCATTTGAATCATCAGAGAGTTTTTTCAGGTAGTCTTTCAGTAAAAGCTCATACCGAGGTATTCTTTGAATGGGACTTAGCATGTGATGAGTGAGGGTGAGATTTCCACATTCTGGCATTTGCTGCAACAAAAAGTAAAAAATTTAGCATAACTAAAATCAAATTTACAGTGGGAAATGAAGAAGTGATTTATAGGGATGAAAATGCATCTCAAGAAACTTACATGGATTTCATGCATGATAGCAGCAAAGCGAGAGTTCTTCATTTGCATCATATTTATTAGACTCATAGCACTATCAAAATTTTTCACATATTCAGTGTAAAGCTTCAGGAACGGTGCAAAAATTTTCATAATGTCACCTAGAAAGAAAGAGGTTTCATTATGTTCGAAGTTTTAAAGTGTAAGGTACAGTATTTTGTAATAAGTATAACAATAGCCTTCCTTCCTTACCTATGCGTGGATCAAGATCCCAAGATTTCATTCGCTCCTCAAGCTGTGGTAGAAGAAATTCATTGTGTAATTTGTAGATGGACTTGATGTTAGAAAACATATGTGGTACAGTTTCCTGGGGGAACATGGGATGAGCTCTGTTTTCATGATCAACACGGAAATGAAAAACCTAGAGGACACAAAAATCAGAACATTCAAAACACATACATTTGATGTTAATAGGAGATTTCAAACAAAAAAAACTATATCTATAGTGTGTACCTGGTCAATAAGGTTAAGCACACTAACGTAACTACGCTCTGTCATGAGGAGCTCATTGGCTAATCGGAAAAGTCTGTCCTTCCGCTGTTCTGGTGTTTGGTCAGGAGTTTTCTGTGCATCTACCTCGCTGCCACTGGCACTGATTTCACTTGGTGCAATACTTTCACCACATGGCTCTGCTAAAAATGGAGTTGAGGTAAAAAAAAATTTTAACATATGGAAATGAACAGAGTTTTGAACAATGAAATAGTGTATCTAAGAACCAAACCTTCAATGGCTTTTCTTGCCACAGGACTTTGAATGGCAGACACTGCAGATTCTTCATCTTCGCTTTCTGATTCTGATTCATAAGCTTCATAACAGTTGTTAATTTGGTCAGAACTGAATCTGTTGAGACATAAATAGAAATATAATAGCAATTCAAAGTACTTGGAGAAGTTGGTACAACGGACAACACATACCTGTAGGAATTAATATGGGTACGGTAGAAAGTACTACGAGAAAGTTCTATTTTCTCAGATTCGCCCCATGATGGTGAAATGTTTGGGGAATGGGTTGGAGATCCCATGAGAATGTGACTGAAGCGAGGCCGAGGGAACCGTCCAAAACTTGGGAACCGGGGAAAAGAATTGCCACTCAAAGGCAACCCTGGTGTCACCTCAGGAAATGCCTCAGAGATTGGGTCTTCATGAATGCTGAGACTACTGACAGGATGTTGTGTGGTGTTGAAGTCCTTTAACACAAAATAATATTTTTAGAATTTAAAAGCTTTAACAGAGGTTTGAAATAAAAAGCAAACAAAGCTAGTGGTGCAGATCACAACACAACAGCTAAGTAAGACAACAACAAGATGTGATATTACAGCCAAGGTATGTACACTCACCCTAGATATGTCTAAAAAGTGAGAAAAGCGCTGTGAGAATCTGTGCTCATGATCACGCACAAACTTATCAAACATATCTGAGCCAGAGGAATGCTTAGCAAACCTCTCTCTTGCTTCGGCAAAAAATCGCCGTGCTTCCTCATTTGAGTCAATGGAGCCAAATCCAAGCCAGTCAGATGGGTCATGTTTCAATGAGTGTATTCTCTCTTGCTCCATACTAGGCGATATTGTGCAGGTTGGCAGAACACATCATTTCTTAGAACCTGTTAGAACATCACAGGACTTTAAAGAAGAGCCCATGGAAAGAGAAGCTATAAGCGATTATGTGAAATGAGTTTTGTCTTGCAAATTTAGTTCAGATCAAACACAGGAAATAAGATCATAAGAAATTAAAAATTCATGTAACTAAAAAGCATAGAAACGGGCCAAAACTTTCAGGGTACTGTCAGAATGACAAATCCAATGAAAAATAGAGTCCATATGACAGCTCATTCAAATCAAAATATTTGTTATTGCAAAGACAAAAAAAACATCTTTGTATTCTGCTCGCCAGATATGTCAGTTGGAATGCTCACCGTGCCTTAAAAACACCAAAACGAAACAATCCAAACATGACAAAAGCAAATTTAGGTAATGTACACAAATCAATTATAACAACAAAAGGCTAGCACAAATACAAACAGGAAGTAACTAGTGATGTTTTAGTCCTTCGGGATGAAGGTTAAGTTTCCACTCTAAGTGCATTACATTAAAGCACTCTTTCCGTGTGAATGGAAACGATTTCAAAGCTAGCACATTGTCATACAAGTTTTAAACAATGAATCACACGCGTAATTGGTGAGTGAAAGCCTCGTCAGTCAAAACAAGAAGCTGCACAATCAAAACTTACACAGCCATCTTATCCGCCATGACACATACTGTCACCCCCACCCCTCTCTTGCTCTTCCCTCCCCCGCCTCCCCCTCCCCGAATCCCGAAAACCGAAAACAGCCGAAGCCGAACTCGCGCTCCGAGCGCTGTCAAACGGCGAGACCTCAAAGCTCACTGAAAGGTCAACATAACCTAACCTTGACAGAACAGAACACTGAAAGAAAGCAGAAACCTTTCCTCTTGTAAGCGTGGAATTTGATTGTTTTGATCATGGCATCCAAAGGTGCGACCCGTGACATTATTCCTGCCCTTCAGAAATTTAGAACTTTCCTTCTGGGAGGAGTAAGTACTTTCATCTTATTATTATGCGTAGGTTGTTTCTAAAGAAGGTTATCATACCTCTGTTTTTCTCTAGTTTTCCATATTGCATGTAATATCCCCCCTTTCAAATTTTATTTTTTCGAATCTTGAATTCAATTGACTCTATATTACCAGTGCCACCTTAGGCTGAGACCATCCTCTTTCAAACTTAGTGACTGAACGACAATGCCTGTGTTTCAGCGAACTGGCCCCAACTACCTACGGTTTGAGGGTAGGATCGCTAAACGGTCCCAGCCCCAGCCCAATCTACCTGATGGACCCCATGCCAAACTGTCAGCTAACTACTATTACGATCGAGATGCAAGGCGAATCCTGAACCCTCCTCTTCTGATTGCCAGCGATCAGAAGCTTATCTCACCCCCTGCGTAAGTTACCCTCAATGAACTGTTTTCGATTAAAATCCAGTAATGTGATAGTATTTGATTTTCTGAGAAAAAAGCTAATGTTGCCTGAGTATTTTGCACTGGACTGTCTGCCCATATTTGTCTGTGTGATCTTCATTGGGTTTGTGTTTTCAGGTCGGAGCAGCCTCGCAAGTACCGCACACCAGGCAAAACATATGCTTGGGATGCTCCTTTTTAATCAATGACAGCTGTACATAAGTGTAGAAAATGTGATCTACTGTAAATTTACCCGCAATGTATAATTAAAATTATTGATAAGCTTTCATGTTATGTTATTTGAATCTTGAAATTTGCAAGGCAGGGAAGAGGTACTAAGAAAAAAAGTCATTTTGATTGCTTTATTGTTGTATCACACATTCAATAGTAACACCTAAACATTCAATAAATGGGCAAATTTAGATCATTCAAATATGCCCACTGGTTGTATATCCAGGTGTGGCTTAGGTCTTAACATTAGCAACATGTTACAAAATTTATTATCATACAAATCATACAGGTCTAAAAAAATAACAAATCAAGGAATGCTGTACATAGGGAAAGATAGAAAAGGAGAAAAGATATCTTTGGTGTTTAAATACAAGAATTACTAATGTTTACAAGAAGGTTTTGATTTAATATGATTTAATAAAGTATGTATGCAACTAACTTTGTCAGTCACAAAAAAAGGGGGAAAGGTAGAAAAATCTTGTTGACACAATTCATCATCACAGACATCGAATTATGCCCAATGGTCAACATTGATAAAATCAAATGGTTCAATTTTATTCTAGACTAGTCTCATGAGTGTTAAGATTATAATATTCAAAATTTGACACACAATCCAGAAATAGCAGCTCTTCTGGTCTGTATTAAGTGTCAACTGCAGCCATTGAACATACCCTCCTGAAAATTTAGCAAAAATTTTATCAAGTAAAACTTTTGCAATTTTCAATTAAGCTTTGTCCCAGCAAAACTTGGGTCTCCTTTGGAAACTGAATATTCCATTGGGAGGATGAATGAAGAGTAAAAGCACCATTCACCGGAAGCAATGTAGAATCGTTCTTTTCAGTTCCGACAAAAAATAAATAAAAACGGCAGAAAATTATTGGCAGACAACAGCTGCCACCCCAACAGGTTCTCTTTTGCAGCACTGGGAGTCTGTCCACGCACTCCCTTTAGTCAGTGACGGTAATTTGGCACCAGGAGTTGACTCATGGAACATGAAACAGTCCGAGAGTTGGTAGTCACAGGACATCAAAAAAGGCGGTCTACGTTTGTTGGTCCCGAGGGGGAAACAACTAGCCAAAAAAATGTACACTAAAAATTTAAATATAAAAAAATTTAAAAATTTCAAAATTTTGTGGAAATTTTGAGAATTTTTACAAACATTTTCCAAACAAAATTAAGACAAAAAATTACAAAAATTTCCGAGTGATTTAGTCTGAAAACCAATATAAATTTTCAAAAAATTCAAAAAATGTAAAAAATTGGAATAAATTTGGTTGGTCTAAGTTACGACTGTCCACACAGGTGTCCACATTCCTCTTTTGTGATTGCTCCACTCATGAGCAGACGGCCGGCGCGGGCGCGCTGACCGCTGCGTTGCCGATGGGGCCCAGGGCGTTGCTGCAGGGCTCGCGGCGCCGCCGGTTCAGCCTGCGCCCGATGTGCAGCAGCACCGGCCCAGACCGAATCTCCTTGAAGACGCCGATGGCCTCCAGGTGGCTGAAGCCATGCAGAGCCTTGCCGTTCACGGCCAGGATCTCGTCGCCTGGAACAAGGAGACATCAACAAGTGAGTACGCAGATTGGATACTCAACAAAAATAGTTGTTGTTTTTGTTTTTTCAAAGGGAAGAAAAGCGGAATTTTTTCTAAACGGCGCCCCTCCTCAAATTCACTCAAATATTACTCTTTTCAAAAACAAAAACCGAATCCCCTTAAACAATCCCCTTCCGTTTCCGTCGCTCTTTATCCACGGGCCGCCGGACCGGCCGAGCCGAGAGTCCGAGAGGTGACGGTGTCGAATCGCCGGAGGCTTGCCTGCCAGGAGGCTTGGCCGGAGGCACGGCCCGGGCGCAGCGCGGCAGCCGCGCCGGAAGTGGCCATAACTTGCCGTGCCTCGCACGTGCTGGAGCGTGCTGGAGCGTGCTGGAGACAGAAGACCCCCCCAGCGGAGGGGAGCCCATCCTGGAATGCCGGGCTCGAAGCCTCCAAAGGGTTTACCCCGGCGCACAGTGGGCCAGAAGACCGGTGGAGGCGGTCAAAACTCTAGACGCGTTTAGAGCGCCTGAGTCGCTAAATAGGACTCGAACAGAACGTGTGACCCCACCAATGGATTCCTCGTTCGGAGAGCAATCCATTGGTGGAGTCACACGTTCGGTTCGAGTCCCATTTAGCGACTCTGGAGCTCAAAACGCGTCTAGAGTTAGGCGCCTGATGGGCAGGCAGTCCCGTAGAGCGGGGCCGCGCCGCGGGACTGCCTACGCTGCCTCCGTGAGGGGCCATGGCCCCTGGCGGGTAGGCAATCCCGTAGAACTGCCGTGTCGGCGGGCGGCCTATCCAGGAAACCTACGGCGTTTTCTTTCGCTACCTGTCCTACGCGAGATGAATAACTCTCGTCCAGCCTTTCTTCTCGGCCCGCAGTATCTCAGCGAGTCGCGTGGCGACGCGGCGACATAGAGGCGCGACGAGCCCTCGAACAAAAGCGCATAGAACGTGATGGCGGCTTTTTAAGGACGCCAACCTGTCCCTATATACTTGTCGGGCTGTGCCGGCCTCGGCGGCCACGCCCTTGCCCGGCCTCGGCCAGCCGCGGCCCGCGGCACCATGCGCTGTGCCAGGCTGCGCGGCTGCGCCGCACAGTGGGCCGCGGCCAAAACTCCAAACGCGTTTTCAGCTCCAGAGTCGCTAAACAGGCCTCGAATCGAACGTGTGACCCCACCAATGGATTGCTCTCCGAACGAGGAATACATTGTTGGGGTCACACGTTCGATTCGAGTCCTGTTTAGTGACTCTGGAGCTCAAAACGTGCCTCGAGTTTTGGCCGCCTCCACCGGTCTTCTGGCCCACTGTGCGGCGCCCCTTCCCCGCGGAGGCCAGTCACCTCTGTCGTCTGCTGTCGGCTCGGCTCGGCTGCGCTCGGCTTGACGCGGCTGGGCTGGGCTGGGCTCGGCGACAATCACACATGACATGCACGCACGTCGCGTCGCCTGCACTGCCTGCACGTCGCTCCCATGGCATCACGTCGCCGTGCCCCGCCATGTCGCCGCAGTCCGAGCGGCGCTCTGTCTGTCTCTCTCGCACCCCTATGGGGACCCGGGAGAGACAGAGAGGGCGACCACAGCCTGTGGCGGACGAAGAGCGACAGCAACACCGCAGCGGGGACAAACAATCACCACCTGACTGTCCACGCCGCAGCCGCACCACTCTCGAGTTACGTAAGGTACGTTATCGGTGGAAAAAGAAATGAAATAACCAACTAATTTCGCCCCTGTCGCACAGTGGGCCAGAGGACCGGCGGAGGGGGCCGAAACTCTAGACGCGTTTTGAGCTCTAGAGTCACAAAACAGGACTCGAACAGAGCGTGTGACCCCATCAATAGACTCCTCGTTCGGAGAGCAATCCATTGGTGGGGTCACACGTTCGGATCTAGGCCTGCAGTACGCACCTTCCTTGAGGCGGCCCGAGTCGGCGGCCTGGCCGTTGGGGAACACGGTCTTGACGAAGATGCCCATGTTGCCGCGCGGCGAGTCCCTGCCGCCCACGATGCTGAAGCCCAGCCCCTTGTGGCCGGGGCCCTTCTGGAACGTGCAGGACTGGATGGTGAAGGCGTTGGCGGCCGAGTGGCGCGGCAGCGTGCAGAACTTGGACTCCTCCACGTCGTCCACCTCGTCCTCGTCCTCCTCGCGGGGGGTCTTGTCCTCCCGGGGGCACGGCGTCGACTGCAGCACCATGCCGGAGGACTTGCGCCGCTCGCCCATGCTCTTGTTGTTGTCGGCCGCGTCCTTGCTCTTGCTGTTGTTGTTGTTGGCGTCGTCGGGCAGCGCCCCGGCCGGCGTCAGGCGGTCCCGGAGCCGCGCCTGCCAAAGACAAGAACAGATTAGCGGTAATCATCAGCCGCACAGTGGGCCAAAAGACCGGTGGAGGCGGTCAAAACTCTAGACGCGTTTTGATCTCCAGAGTCACTAAATGGGACTCGAACCGAACGTGTGACCCCATCAATGGACTCTTCGTTCGAAGAGCAATCCATTGGTGGGGTCACACGTTCGGTTCGAGTCCCATTTAGCGACTCTGGGGCTCAAAACGCGTCTGGAGTTTGGCCGCCTCCACCGGTCTTCTGGCCCACTGTGGGGCGGGGCGGCGGCCGACCGTGGGGCCCACGCGTAGCGAGGGCTGCGTCCGAGACCGCAGACGCGACACTATAAACGCACGCAGCCACAATGAAGCGCCGACGAGCGTGGACGAGGTCAGGGCCTCAGGGCCTCGCGACGCAGTGTCGCGCAGTGCGTACGGGCACGGTGCGCGGAACCGCCATCTCCGCCACGCCGCGCCCCGCGAGTGCGAGAGAGACAGGGCGATGATTCTGGGAACAATGGAAGACCATGGAAGACCGCGCGACGCGGCGCGACGCGACGCCATCCCCGGCCTGGGGGTTGCCGATGTCGCCTTGCCGCCCGCCCACCACACTGGAAGCCTCGCTGTGGTCGGGGGCCTGCAGGAACCCTGCTACTTTGGCCAAAGGCGGCCTCAGGGGCGGGAAAAGTTGCGGGTACCGGATGTTCGATTGCAGCTATCGAGCTATCGAATCGAAGAGTCGATCCTTACAACGTGCGGCGCATGAGCGCGCTCCAGACGGTCTGGGTGTTCCGCGGCGAGCGGCAAGCACGCTGCAAGTCACGACCACGGCGACGAGGCACAGGTGTCCGGGACTCCCGGAGGACGAATGATAATACAAAGTGTTGGTCAATTAACACCTTCTGTCGGGCCGGGGGCGGGGCGGGGCAGGCGGGGCGGGGCGGTCTGCCACCGAACAATGCGCGGATGAGTCACGTTTCGGAGCGACAGACAGACAGACGGATAGGCAGACAGACCTGCGCGGCGTCCGTCGTGTATGTCTGTCGGCATGAACGCGCGGGAATAAAAAACACAAGCGGAAAGCCCTTTCCTCTCAATTTGGCAAAAATTTCGGCGGGCGAAACAAAGAGGCAGTCTGTCGCACGGCGGGGGACGGGGCAGTTTGAGCGGCACGCAAAATGTTTCCTGCGAGGGCCCCCCCGATTTCGGAGCCTCATTTCCGTCGACACGACACATCAGCGGATGGGGAGTGAACGGACAGGACCGTCTCTCTCGCGCTGCGCCGCACAGTGGGCCAGAAGACCGGTGGAGGCGGACAAAACTCTAGACGCAGTTTGAGCTCCAAAGTCGCTAAATGGGACTCGAACCGAACGTGTGACCCCACCAACGGATCGGTCTTCCATTGGTGGGGTCACACGTTCGGCTCGAGTCCCATTTAGCGACTCTGGAGCTCAAAACGCGTCTAGAGTTTTGGCCGCCTCCACGGGTCTTCTGGCCCACTGTGCGACGGGCCGCCCCACGAGAGCGAGAGAGGCGCAGCAACTCACGCGCTCTGGCGGTGGTTCTAATCGCCGCCTTACTCACTCCCCCTTGCGCGTGCTGTTTGCCGTGATGGACGCGACGTCAGCGAGCTGCAGAGCGTCGCGCTGTCTCTCTCGCACCCCGACGGGCCGCCCCACGAGTGCGAGAGAGACAGCGCGACGAAAGCACCATTCGGAGTCGGCGCGCGTAGTGCAACAAGCACAGCATGTCGCGGCGGCGCGTTACGACAGAGAAAGAGAGAGAGATGGCGACAGCGCGGAGAGCCTTGTTAGGGCTGTCAGCATTATTCTGCCGACCAAGTCTAGCCTCCCGATTCCCTGGCCGCACGGAAAACAAACCGGGCTGTGCTGGAGGGAAGGGGAAGGGCAGATAAGGCGACTTTAGCTCACCTGGGCCTTGGTGGGCGCGAGCAGGTCGCAGCTGCCGTGGTGCGCGGGCCGTGTGGCGGAGCGGGACCGGCCGGACAGGCTGCCGCCGAACAGGCTCCGCTGCAGCTGCTTGACGAGCCGCCGGCCGCGCTCGCGGCTCAGGCTGCTGCGGTCCTTGTCCTCGTCCTTCTTCTTGTCCTCCTTGTCCTTCTTGCGCGCGCTGCCGTCGTCCTTGGCGTCCTTGGGGCTGGCGCGCAGGTGCACGGCGGAGGAGAACACCTTGGACAGCCGCACCGACTTCTTCTTCACCTCGGGCGTCTGGGACTTGGCGCGCAGCGTGGGCGCCGGCTCGGGGGTGGCGGCCACGGCGACCACAGCGGCGTCCGGGGTGCGGACGGGCGACGGCGACGCGTGCCGGAGGCCCCTGTCGGGCGCGGGGGACGGCGACGCACTGGTGGCGGCGCGCCTGGTGCGCGGCAGCGGCACGGGGGCGGACATGACCTGCAGGGACGCGGGCCCGGCCGTCGACACGGGCGTCGACGGCGACCTGGACGCCGACACGCCGCCGCCGATGACGAAGCCCGTGGTGGTGGTGGCGGCCGAGCCCGGCGGCGTGGGCAGGTCGTCGTCGGGGAGCACGCCGGCCTGGTGCTGGCGCCGCAGCCGCGGCAGGATGTCGTGCAGGTCGGCGGCGTCCTCGGGGAACGGGTCGGACATGGCCCACCGCCGCCGCGACCGCACCCTGGGCAGCGGCATGCCGGCCGCCGCGCCGTCGCCGCCATCCTGGCCCTGGCTCGGCGGCGCCTCCACCGGCGAGACGCGGTTGCTGGGCTGCGCGGTGCCGGGGGACCGCGTCAGCGGCCGGCCGCGGAGCCGGTCGCCCTGGTACACTGGCTCGTAGGCGGTCGGCGTGGGGCAGCCCTCGATGGAGTGGTAGCCCAGGTCCCAGCACGGCGCGGGCGGCGGCGGCCGGTGGTGGAGGTGGTGGTGCTGGTGGTGGTGGTGAGGCAGCCCCTTGGACGAGGCCCCCGACGACGACGACCCGTTGCTGCCCGTGCTCCGCCGGTCGATGTCCTCGGTCGGCGTGCCCGTGCCCCGGCCGGAGGAGCAGTTACTCGAAGGTTTTCTGAAACGAATATTTCAAAATTAGTGGGGTCACACGTTCGGTTAGAGTCCCATTTAGCGACTCTGGAGCTCAAAACGCGTCTAGAGTTGTGGCCGCCTCCACGGTCTCCAGGCCCACAGTGTGCCGTGGACACGCACCTGTGCCTGTGGATGCTGACGTCGGCGTCCCGGAAGGCGAAGGGCGGCAGCGACACGGGGCCGACGCCCGGGGAGTCCTCGTCCTCCTCGGCGGCGCGCTCCATGGGGGAGGGCACGTAGAACGTGGGCTTGGCGCCCTGCGAGCCTTGCGAGCCCTGCAGCAGCACAACCAGAGGATCAAGTTCAATCCAAGACTGGTGGAGGCGGCCAAAACTCTAGACGCGTTTTGAGCTCCAGAGTCGCAAAATGGGGCTCGAACCGAACGTGTGACCCCACCAATGGATTCCTCGTTCGGAGAGCAATCCATTGGTGGGGTCACACGTTCGGTTCGAGTCCCATTTAGCGACTCTGGAGCTCAAAAGGCGTCTGGAGTTTCGGCCGCCCCAAATCCACTGTGCCGCGGGCGGGAACTCACCGGCTGCGTCGCCTGCGGCTGCAGCGTGACTTCGTGCACCGAGAGGGCCCGGCGCCGCCTCCAGCCCGCCCCCACGCCGATGCCCGCCTCCAGCCCCGCCTCCAGCCCGGCCTGCAGGCGGCCCAGGCCGTGGCGCAGGCGCTGCTGCATGCCGTGCGAGGGCGACGGCGACGGGCAGGGCGACGGGCACGGCGACGGCGCGGTCCTGGAGGACGCCGACGACGACGGCGTGGTGAACGACGAGCAGCGGCGCCTCAGCCTGCGCCAGCGCTGCGACAGCCCCAGTCCCGCGTCTGCAACAACAACAACAAGAGGGGCGCGATCAGCAACAAGTTCAAGTTAGGGGTTCCAACAACAACAACAACAAGGGCGCGCTCAGCAACGAGTTCAAGTTAGGGATTGTAGGCGGGCTGAGGTTGGCCACCCTTTCAACACAGGTGCCCTGCGGCCTGCGGGAGGTTTCGCCTAGTTTTTTCGTGGCGGTGCTGCTCTGGCTCTGACGCACGCCTGCTTCCGATGGGCACCCTGTCCCTGTCACCGGAGTCATTCTCGGCTCACTTTGAATTGTTTATTTTCGTCCGCGGTGGAAACTTGGTCTGGTTCCGTTGGTCAGACGCCACGGCGGCGGGGACACCGCGACACCAGAGCGGTCCCCGGCGCTCCGGCGCTCTGTCTCTCTCGCACCCCCTTGCGGCCGCCCCGTGAGTGCGAGTGAGACAGAGCGACGGCGGCAGCAGTGCGGTCGGAATCGGACTACTGCAGGGCGTTGCGTCACTGCATCTGCCTGCCCGGCCCGGCCGCCCTGCCCCAATCTTGATGTGGGCTAAAAGGCTCAGCAGATAATCGGGTGGCAGCCCCGCCGCGCCCACCACCTCGCCGTGCATGCGCGGAACGGGACGGACGGAACACAGCGGCCCGCGCTTTACAAGCCCACCGCGACACGCAGTGGCGGCCTTCGCCATTCAAATTAACAATGCAGAAAAAAAAATATTTTAAAAAGTCGAAGAAAAGCACCGAAGGCTTTGCCCGCGCGGTCCCCTGCGCCGTCGCTTGCGCTGAATCCCTTCACGCCCCGCAACTGTCTCTGTCTTGCAAAAAAAAAACGCCTCGAGTGAAAAAGCGCGTGTTCCAATTTGATCCGTCATGCAGAACACACACTCACACACACACACGCATGACGCAACGAGGCTGGACGAAAAACACAACGGATTACGTTTCGCCTTGACTGTCGTTAGCCGCGGCATCAGTCGGTCGCTCTGTCTCTCTCGCACTCACGGCGCGGGTCGCGGGGGTGCGAGAGAGAAAGAGCGACAGCGAGGCAAGGTCGTTAATAGCGCCACCGGCCCGGTCCGGGGCAAACGAACCGATCCGTCAGTGGCGAAAGAGAAAAGGAGAGAGAGAGAGCAGATCGCTCGCCAAATACGCAAACTCGATCGGAATGCAGTTCATTGCTGAGTGATTATGACGAGTCCGCGACAGTGTGCGAGACACGCCACTTGAACCAGTGCCCATCATCGGGGAAGTCGAGCCATCGACACTCGAGTCATCGATTCTCCGAAAGGGGCGCTCGAGTTTGGAACTCGGAGGAGGAGAAGGAGGAGGGGGAGTGTCTGTGCATTCCATGGCACCGGCCCATGGCACCGGCCCATGGCACCGGCCCATGGTGCATGCCAGGACTATGCCACGCCATGGACAGGACGAGTTTCAGATGAGCGGCGTCGCCCCGCCCCGCCCCGCCGCACCACCGCGTGCAGTTCGTTGACATTTTGAGACCGGACGGACGGACGGACGGATGGACGGGCTCGGAGACAATACCTTTACCTTGCCCTCGGCCCGTACACGGGGCACGCACGCGCACTCACTCACTCACTCACACACACACACACACACTCACACACACACACACACACATCACACACACACACACACTCACACACTCACACACACACACACACACACACACACACGCACACACACACACACACACAGAGCCAGTGAGGTCCTCGACGCATAGATATGCATACGCAGGCCAGCGCTCGGCGCGCAGCGGGTGTGGCGCCCGCATGCGGCATGGGGACCCAATGGGGACCCAATGGGGACCCCCAATGGGGCCCAAGCACAACGGGGAGGGTCACCACGGAAAAGGAGCCGAACAGCAACCAAAAGCCCGCGAGCAACGTGGAGGAGACTGACTGCGTTCATAGTCGTTGCAACTTAATTCATCAACAGTCGGCTTCAAAGATGCGGCTTTAAAAAAATCCTTAATTTAAAAATAAAATTAATCTTTTTTTTTTGTAAAATTATTAGACCAAAAAGGCTGAATCCCCGTGTCTCCTTGTACTTCCCGGTCGTAAAGATCGCACGGAGGCGGCTACACGGGTAAACGGCGTGCGGGCGGCACACTGCAAGGCCCGGCAAGGTCCCCGTCGCTCCGTCTCTCTCGCACCCCTGTGGAGGGTACACCCGGCACTGCGTGCGAGACAGACAGAGAGAACGCAGCGTGCAGTAGCCGCGGCCGGAGACATTAAGGCGTAATGACGGGCTGATTAGACGGGGAGCGACATCCAAATTGCCCGATAAACAGTGTCTCGCTGTCTCTCTCGCACCCCCACGGCCGCCCCCACTCCCCCACGAGTGCGAGAGAGACAGACCGTCGAGGAGGATGGCAGAGGCCGCGGCGTTCGCCACGTACGGGCAGCCCCCTCCAGAGCAATAACTTGTAGCGCGTATTTGCGGCATTAGGCAATAATAGTGATTGAGTGGTCGCGGGCGAACGGCCACTGCGAAAGTGGCAGCGGGGAGGGGAGAGAGAGTGGCACAGTGGATTTGCCAGAAGACCGGTGGAGGCGGCCAAAACCCCGGACGCGTTTTGAGCTCCAGGGTCGCCAAATGGGGCTCGAACCGAACGTGCGACCCCACCAATGGATTCCTCGCTCGGAGAGCAATCCATTGGTGAGGTCACACGTTCCGTTCGAGTCCCATTTAGCGACTCTGGAGCCCAAAACGCGTCCACCGGTCTTCTGGCCCACTGTGAGTGGGAGAGAGAGTGGGAGGGAGCGCCTGGAGGGTAGGCAAAACGAGACAGCCGTGCGTCCGGGCTGCCTACCCGCCAGGGGCTCCGCACGGCACAGCTCGTTGCCCACCTCAGCCTGCCTGCCAGGCAACTTCTCGAGAGCGAAGCGCAGCTATTGCCTGGCAGGCACGCTGAGGCTAGCGGCGCTGGTAGCGCTGCATCGCGAGAATGTTTGCCTACTTGTGAGTGGCAACACTGCGCCGTCAGCACTCTGTGCACTCTGTGCTGCTGCCCCGCCAGCCGGCCGGCCGGCCGCGCCGTTCGGGAGGGTGGTTCGGTCGCGCCGTCTCCGTCGCACTGACGGGGCGCTGCCGAGGCCGCGTGAGGGTGCGAGAGAGACGGGAGCGCTCTCCTCTGAATCACTCGACGGCTATGCGTCACCACGCAGTGCCGTATGGTCGCGCCCCGTCGCGCCCTTCTCCCGTATTGGCACGTCTCCACGGCAGCCGCCGCGCCGCGTAGCCGCGCCTCTGTCGCTACCAATGCGGCCCCGCCCCGCCCCGCCCCGCCCCGCCCCGCTCCGCCCCGCCCGACCCCGCCCTACCCCGCCCCGCCCAGCGCGGCGTTCAGTAGGTCACTTGCACCTTACAGGACTCGACACGTCCAAACACACTGCGAGGCGACGCGCACGCCGAGACCGGACCGTTCGTCCACGTGGCGAACCCACTACACTAGAACTAAAGCAAAATTCAAAAAAAAAAAAATTAAAAAAAAAATAAAAAAAATCTAGCAGTTACACAACTTACAGGAAGTGAAAAATCAAAGTCCAATTTGGACATAAATCGGGAAAAGAAACACACTAGTGACTCTTGAACCCGGACTAGCACACCCAGGACAAGGCACCTTTTCATACGAAAAACCTGCAGAAGTTCAATACTTTTTGAACAACGCAGGGGGCTGGTAGAGTCGACCGAGACTGAGGTGTCTCATTACCACACCAATGGTGCAAACCATAGGTATGACAACTAGCCGGAGCCACGGGCCCTTAAAACGGGTCATTCTTCTCACTGGGGTCGTATCGCGGGGGATCGCATGTCTACTGCTACTATGTACTAGCGAACTGCGACTGAGAACGCGCCTCGCCGCTTCCCCGAGGAGGTTGGAGGGTTCTTCTTTCGCCCAGTGTAGGCTCACTCACTCGCACGTCGTCAGTGGCGATGGCCACTCTTATATTGCAACTGCAAAAACAATTGACGCGGCGTGGCCATACTGGCCGGGCTTGGCGTCGTGGGCGTGTAGACAGTAGTCTCTCTCTCTCTCTCTCTCTCCTCTCTCTCTCTCTCTCTCTCTCTCTCTCTCTCTCTCTCTCTCTGTTCTTCTTCTCATTCTTCTTGGCGCTGTCGTGCTACTCTCTCACGCACACGGAGAGACACACACACACACACACACACGCTGCCGCCTTTATATGAATTATTAATGCTGGTGAGGTGTGAAAATACGGTACGCCACACAGTGCTGCAGTCGAGTCGAGTCGAGGTCGTCACGGCGAACAACGGCCGGCCGGCATGTCGCCGTCGAGGAGCTCGTCGTCACAGACTCGGACACGGCGCGTCATGTTTGTTGTGACCCCGGCACCCCGGCGGCGCGGCAGGTGGTGGTTCGAATCCCGACGACGGCGAGGACAATGGTCAAATGCGCCTATGGATTCCGTAGGATCTTTTTACGCTGCTGTGTCTCGTGTGTGTGTGTGTGTGTGTGTGTGTGTGTGGAGAGAGAGAGAGAGAGAGAGAGAGAGAGAGAGAGAGAGAGAGAGAGAGAGAGAGAGAGAGAGAGAGAGAGAGAGAGAGAGAGAGAGAGATAGAGAGAGAGCGCTCTAAGAGAGTCAAGGTGCAATACGCAGGCGCCAGTACGGTACCTAAAAAGAAACCGACCCGCACATACACACAGACACACACACACACACCGTTGGTCTTCCCACGGGACGCCCCGTGCCGCGGCTCCACAAACACAAGGATGCGCCGGACGAGATAGAGAAATGTGCAGCGGCGGTGCAACGAGAGCAAAGAGATGCAGG